TGGGTCAGAGTTTCGAACTGCAAAACTCCCTCATCAGCAACTATAAAGAGTGTATTCATCCATACTACAAAGCTATAAAAAACCGTGTCAAAGAATTAGAACAGAAATGCGAAAAATATGGTGAAAATGTCACTTCTGGTGTTAAACTCTATCCTTACAGTTATGTTATACAAGTAAGATGTTTTTTTAATTTTGCTTATGATATTTTAGTGCAATTTGTAGCAAATATATTTTTTCCAAACGTCACAAAATTATTAATCTTTGCAACGTGATTGACAATATAAAAAAGTAATTTTAACGCCTAGGCCTAAAAGTAAAGTTTTTACACCTAAGCACAAAAGTACGAAAATATATTATTAAACTGACATAATGTGTCAAATTCAACGAGCGTAACCATAGTTTATCGATATATACATAATTACTTACAAGGAATTACTTTTAAATCTTTTTATATAATTTGCAACGTTTGAAATTGTTTAAAAAAATATGTGCGAACGTAAAAAAATAGCATGTTCAATTCAGAGTAAAAATGTACTTTTTGTGCCTCACCTGTAACGTCAAACGTACAGCTTCGCCACAAAAAGTGTCATTTTTACTCCTAATAAAACAATAAATATACTATTCTTTTTAGCAAATAAAACACGCCTTCAACAGTGTAATAAACGAAAAACTACTAAAAGCAATTCTAGAAACGAACTCACTGGTTAATCAACTTCAAAAACTTTCGTCCATGGACAAAAACCTAATTGTACAAACGAATAACCACCTAGAGCGACTCCAAACGTATTTGCCAAGTTTAGAACGAATTTTTCACGAACTGAAAATGTACAGAACTTCGTACCCCGATATACTTGAGCCTCTATTGGCTAATATAGCTCAATTGAGGTATGGGTTCAATTTGAAATTATATTATGTCAAAAGGGAGTTGGTAAAGTACCAGCATAGAGTTCAGTCTAATATAGATCTTGAAAAGGAACTTGTTGAATTATTGGAAGTACCATGTTTGAATGAAAAAAATAAAGAATTTTTGATGAATATATTGATAGTTATAGTAATGGAAAAATTAATAGTTCCCCTGGATTATATTTTAAACCATACAGAATCCTTTATAAGAGAAAAAGAAAAAATTAAGGTATAGTTTTTAAAACAGTCAAGTGAATTTTTAAAACTACTGTATGTTTTAGGTTATTATTGTGTGAGTATTCAGGAATATTACAATTTAAATATAATAAAAGCAAAAAAATAGTGGTGATGTTTTGGATAAGGAATCTGTGAATAAATTTAATGAATTAATAAGAGTTTTTATTAATTTGTGGAATAGACAGCAAGAGAAAGAAGAAAAAGAACAAAATGAAGCTGAGAATATTTACAAAATAAGGTAAGTAATGTGTTTTTTCTATAATTATAGGTATAGTATTAAGCCCCACGTTGGGCGCCAAGATTGCGGCGCCTTTAAAATTTGTGATTCAATAAATACAAAGTTTCTCATAGATGTCGGAAAGAAGAAATTTGACTCATTGTTTCATCTCTATGAACTCAACTAACTAGCGCAAGCTAGGATATTCTATAAATTTTAGTTGTATTTTTTAGACATTTTGAATGATCTTAAACTATTAAGTATAAAGTATAATTGAAACCACTAATTTACTCCACTAATTCTGAGGTTCCGAATAAAGTAATAAACTCTTAATTACGATCATTTCAGTGTCTAAAAAATACAATAAAATGAATAGAATAATATACAGCTTACGGTAGTCAGTTGTATCCATAAAGAGAGCCTAATAATTAGGTTATAAAACAAACTTTTCTTTTTTTATTTCAGAACAAAATGCGAGGATAAATCTGAAGATGAACAAATCGATGAAGAATTAAACGACATTTTCAAGAACTATCATTCTCTGGACTTTGCCGATTTACAAACAAAACCTCTAGAAGATTCGACGAACAAAAATATCGAAGATGTAAATATAGACTCCAAAATAATAACAGAAAATGACATTCAGTTCGTTATCAATCTTCATTCTATGCTGTTAAACGATTTTGTTGAAACTGAATGGATAAATGTTGAATTGAAACAAACCCTTTACCTAATTTGTTGATGCCATTAACTGTGAAGTTCAAACTAGCCAGATTGATCACTGATTCTTACTCGTCTAGCTTCAAGTATACCACAGATTCGAGTTTAGTCAGTAGTTTGAGTGTATTAGTGGAAAGTTCTGGATCTGATAGGTCAAAAGGTCTGTGTTAGTCTTTTTCATTTTGAATGAAACGGAAATATATATTAATCACCCTGTATAATTTACTTTTGTAATTTAGGCGTAGGAAACTTATCAACAAAAGCTATTTCCGGAGATTTCTACAGAGATTCAAACGTTGAGGAAGTTAAAGGATGTCACCACGTTTTGATTGAACTAAAAGAAAAAATAAATGAACTTTTAGTGGACTGGCCTGATCAACCCACTCTGAACACTGTAAGTAATTTTAAATGTTATGCCCTGTATATAACTCTAATTTATTACAGATTCTAACTGTGATAGACAGAATTCTCCATTTCGACATATCCAGTCCCATATCCAGATTCCTCACGGGTTTTGACATTTTGCTGGAAAAATGTCACGAATGGGAACAAGTAGCACACTCTGGCGTCAGCCTGATACACTTTTCACCGAACTTAGTTCAACAAGTCATCGGTTGGCGAAAAACTGAACTAAACAGATGGAAAGACTTGTTAAACAGCACATTTGAAGAGTAAGAGTAAAAGTTTATGATATTTCATTCAATAATAATTATGATTAATCTGATGTTTTAGTATGAAAAAGCCTTTAAAAAAGTGGTGGATCTACGTGTATAACTTGATGAACCAATACGTGCTTGAAGAGAAGGTTTCCGAGTCAGAACTCGTTGACATACTACAAAAATTCATCACAAAATCGACCTTAGTTGAATTTGAAGGTCGCCTGAGTATTCTCTACACTTTTCATCTGCACGCTGTATATCTAACCAAAACAAAATATACCGAGTCTTTCATAAATATCCTTTGGAACGTTTACAATTATTATAAGCAGTTTTCGAGCACAATACTTCAGAAAATCAAGGATCTTAGAACTCCGATTGAGAAGAAATTAAAGGATTACGTCAAAATTGTCAAATGGAAAGATGTCAGTTACTGGTCTATAAAAGAAACAGTGGATAAGAGTCATAAAACTCTGCATAAGTTTGTCAGAGAATACAAGGTAATAAACTAAATAAAATTATTTTTAACACTGTCTCTCTCTGAAATTGTATATAATATATTGCCTACAGTGGCAAAATCACTAATATACAGGGTGCATCTTAAGTTTGTATTTCATTATTTTCATTATTTTTAAAAAATGGGAAATAATCCCACTTCTGATACTAAACATTATATTATATTATTAATAATAACCCGTGAATTTATGAAATAATGATGTCTATGTTAAGAGTGACAAGATAGGTAGTAACTACACTAATACATGCTATTTTTATTTATAACTCAATATTTTTTGTCTGAAATTTTAGGAAGTGTTACTACAGCCAGTAGTGTCATATTTATGCAACCCAACTTCCACAGACATCTCAATGGAGACTGTGGGAATTTGGGACAGACCACAAAGACAAAATCCCAAATCGTACCATTACACATTGGATGCCGATTCTTATTTGATCAAATCCCCCGGCAAGGACATTCCATATGTTACAACAGCACGAAAAATATCTAAAGAAACTATATTGGCTACTGAATACCCCGAATTGGTTAAATCGTTGGACGGCTTTGTGACAGATGTCATAGAAACCAGTTCGCATCTTAGGAATTTAGGTAGGTATGTATATATATCATTTTTTTTAAATGTGGATATTTTTATATTTTTTTCATCAGGTTGACAGCACTTTGCCTAAAGAAAAACAAGTATCCCAGGCAAAAAGTATTTTACAACAAAAACACAGAGCTCTAACAGAACTCTTCCAAAATCTGTCTAAAATGGGACTGTCTTATAAGAGAGGTATCTTAAATACTAAACTAAAGAAATCTACAGAGTGTTTTACGATTAAACCCATTAATTTGTCGGCTAGTTTCGCACATTTAGTACATAATAGACTGGATGAGAAAATACTAACTATTTGGGATTCTTGTGAGTTGTATTACTACAAATGTCTTACGAGATATGATCTTTTGGAAATGGCTTTGGTTAATCCAGCTAAAGATTTAGGGATGCAGAACATAGAAAGATGTCGTGGATTTGCAGCAGAATTTTTGGTAAGATGTCATTCAACAAAAAAGATGCTAAATTAAAATTTTATTATTATTCAGTTGTGTAACAAAATATCTATATATAACTACCGTATGATTGAAAAAAAAACGGCGTCCAGTTGACTTGGAAATGACGATCGTTGACATACCCCATAAAATTTTGCATATAAAATGACAGCGATCTTCATTTCATAGCCATCGCTGACGCCGTTTTTTTTTCGATCATACGGTGTTTTTCAAGTTTTTTTCAAGATTTTCAATAATTCCACTAATATTCACCAATCCTGACACACTATCTTCCCAGATTTATACGTTTCGCATAAAACTAACCATAAAACTAACAAGAAATAATACAAAACAAACACAGAAAAGAGCAACGAAATCACTAAAAAATTAAAACTGACAAAAAAAGTATTTCTAACTGATGATCTTTCCATCTTCAATAATATTCCTTAGTCTCTTTATTATTCTATTTTGAAATAAATTGAGTATATTTTGTATTTCTTGCCGATGTTGTATGTCACTATATTTTTATTTTAAACCTATTTTTTTGCAGACATATTGCCAAGAACAGAAAGAAGGCTTGATCAAAACAACCAGATCATACTATTATCTACGAAATTACAGTAAAAAACTACACGAAATCTGTCAAAATCCGGATTATGTTCCTGTCGAAAGTATTACAAGAATTAAAAATACTTTAGATTCACTTACAGTCGTTATAAGTCAAATAAAATTGGTTTTAAACTCTTGCCCTACAGAAGAAACTTTAGATCATCAAATTATCGAAATACCAGTGCTTCAAACGAAATTCAGAAAGATTCAGTATAAAAACGATGATTTTTGGATCAAATCAATGAAAAATATTGATGATATTAATTCTGCTGTATCCAAGATAGCGAATCATTTACAAAAAATCGAATCTTACATACCTAGCACTGATTGTTCTGTCATTAACTTGAAATACCTCCCTCACAACAACAGAACTCAACTTATTCAACACTTAGGTCAACTAAATAATTCATTAATTGATTTAAAGGAGCAACTTTATCCTGTTAAGATCACCAGGAGCTTAGATTGGATAATTGAATTATTAGCCCAAATTATAGAAGAAAATAACTCAGAAAATGCTATTGAAGAATCAGAAATATCTTATGAAACTCAGATAAAGAACTTTACAGACAGTATTCTTATATCTCTCCAAAATCTTTACAAAAAATATCGTGATTTACCCAAGAAACCTGAAGAAAATTTAGAAAACGACGAAGAAGAAAATATTAAGGAAAACCATCTGAAGGTGTTGATAGCTAAAAATCTTTCACAAGATGTGGATATGTTGGATTTGAAGAAAATATTGTTAGAATCTGAAGAAATGGTAAAGTTTCTTCTAGGTGGCTTTAAATATGCTTCAGAGCAAACTAGATCAAGCATTTCACATTGTATACCTTTGCTTGATCAAGTATTACAGCTTTCACAGTATTTTATCACTCAACAAGTGTGTACTTATCGCACTACTTGTAAGTTGACTTCTGTGGTGCTCAGTATTTTCAACGATCTGGCTTCTAAGGTAAGAAATAGTTTGTAAAAAAACACTTTTTTATTGGTTAAAAACATTATTATACTTAATTCTAGGGCTTCTGTGTTCCTCCAGACCTTGAAGGCGAAATGGACAAAGAAGGCGTGAGCAAACCATCTGACGGGTTAGGTTTAGGGGAAGGACAGGGAGAGCGTGACGTTTCTGACAGGATAGAGTCTGAGGATCAGCTGGATGACGCTCAACCTGCCGGTCAAGAAAAGGAAACCAGCGAAGATCCCGATTGTAAAGAGGAAGACAAAGGAATAGAGATGAGCGAAGATTTTGACAGCAAATTACAGGTAAAATACGTTTTGTATAAAAGCATTAATTACTTATTTTATTATTATACAGGATAAAAAACAAGATGACGAGGACAACGATGATGAGAGTGACAATTCAGACGCAGAAGAACAAATGGGTGAGACAGAAAAAGGAGCTGATGGCGTGGACCAAGAAATTTGGGGAGATAAAGACGAAAACCAAGAAGAAGGTTCAGTTTAACCAAAAAACTATCCAATATAACCAGAAACTAACAAAATTCTTATTTTAGATTCGGAAGAACAGAAAGAAGATGATGGCAAAGGTGGCGAAAAAGATGGCGAAGACCAGCTTGGAGCTAAAGACGAAGAAACCAAAGACAAATCTAAACAGGACAAAGAAAAATCTAAGGAACAAAATAACGAGGCAGAAAATCCGAAGGAAGAAATCAACGAAATGAAGGAACCTGAGTATAATGACGAACAAATTGATCCTTACCATGGAAATCAGCCTGAATTGCCTGAACCTGAGGCTATGGACTTGCCTGACGATCTTCAGCTAGATGAAGGTAATGTTTTCTACTAATTTTTCCTATCAAATATTTTATAATTAATTTTAATATAATTTTCCTATCAAATATTTTATAATTAAAATAGGTGAAGAACAAGATGGCGAAAAACCTGAAGACAACCCATTTGATATCGATGAAATGAAGGAACTTAACGAAGATCAATTGGACAAACCCACTGAAGTACCTCAAAATGATAAGCAAAATGACGAAGTTGAAGAATTTAGCAGTGATGATGAAGACGGGCCAAATAAAAATGAAGATAACTTGGAACAAGGACCTGAAGAGGATAAAGAAAATGAAGAAGCTACTAACGATGAAGAAAAAGACCGTAATGATGTTTCTGAAGCTCTAGAAAATGAAGATGATGAAGATAACAAGGTTGAAAATGAAGAGAGTGGTTTAGATGAAAACGTTACTAATCAGGAGAATGTGGAAGCAATGGAAGTTGATGATGCTCCTGCAACTGATAAGGTATAATAAATAAAAAATATAGTCAACGAAATTTATATTGAGAGTTGTATTTTGTATTATCTATATGTCTGATCTTAGACTCAAGCTACTAACTCAGAAAATATCAAGTCGAATGAGCCGATAGACGAACTGTGCCAAGAAGATAAACCAGATAAAGAAGGAGTGGGGCAGTCACAAATGGAAGAAAATGAAACAGGACACTCTGTACAAACCACGGCTCCGCAACAAGTTCAAGGTGCTGGATCTGAGGATGAAGTCAAACAGAAGAAAGAAAAACCAGGAATATCCGATTCAAAACGCAGTCTAGGTATGTGTGTATGATTTTTCCAAATATTATTTAGAGCTTCTTACTGATAAAAAAAATTACTGATATAAAAAATTTCACACCTCTAGACCAGATAGCAAGGAATTTTCATACAAACTTTCATCCTCAATTTTACTTCTTAAGTAAAAATCTTTTGTGCAAGTTTTTGTGCTTCTACGGTCAGCAATTATGAAGTTTCATACACACTTTCACCTCAAATTTCAAATAAATTTACAAAAATAGCTTCTTTTTACTAAATTACGTCATTAAGCCACCTTTGTGTAAAATTTCGTGGGACATTCGATATGATTTGATTATAGGTGATGTAACCCAGCCTGTTCAAAAGAAACTGAAGACAATAGATACCCAAAGTAATTCGACAAACAAAGATGAGATGGAAGACAACACAGCAGAGATGTATGAACACATAGAAAATGCTACAGAAAAAAGTACAACACAGGTAACTAAAAAATAAAACTAAATACAAAGCAGTAAGCTACATTTGATTTGATTTTTTTCATAGGTACTGGACGCAGCAACAAAAGAGCAGGCTGAAGAACAAAACAAAGCTATAGAACACGGTGAAGATCCCGAAGAACCAGAAGAAACTGAAGACACCTCTGATCTTCCTAAAGAAGACGAGAAGATGGATACTGACCTCGCAGAAACACAGACAGAAGCCCCCATGAAAACCGACAATAACAAAGAAAAAAACAAAACCAAAAAACAACATCCTGAAGGTGAAATAATGGAAGACCTCAAAGACATAGAGATCGAAGGCGAAATTATACAAACATCTATGGCTCCTAGAGGAAATGAATCGTTCCATCACACCCAATACGACTCTTTGAAAGAGAACTTTTACACTAAACTGACTCAAGAGGAAATGAACGCTGTAAGAACTGAAGTAGAACAGCAGTTATCTTCGTGGACTACAGCCCCTGTTTGCGCAGAAGCTGAACTAGCCTGGCAAAGAATATCCTCAGTTACAAACTCTTTAGCTCAAGATCTCTCAGAACAATTGAGGCTAGTTCTTGAACCAACCAAAGCTAGTCACTTGAAGGGTGACTTCAGGACTGGCAGAAGAATAAACATGAGAAAAATAATCCCTTACATCGCTTCACAGTTCAGGAAAGATAAAATATGGCTTAGAAGAACCAAACCTTCTAAAAGAGAGTACCAAATAGTCTTGGCTATAGATGATTCATCAAGCATGGCAGATAACCATTCTAAAGAACTTGCTTTTGAGAGCGTCGCCTTGATATCTAAGGCTCTATCTCTCCTTGAGAGTGGCCAATTAAGCGTTGTAGGTTTTGGTGAGCGCACAGAAGTTCATCACAAGCTCACAGATCCTTTTACTGAAACCAGCGGAGTGAATTTACTTCAAAAGTTCCAATTTGACCAGACCAAGACACTTATAGGAAGACTATTACACTTTGTTACTGAAATGTTTGAACAAAGCACTGTTCAAACTTCAGTCCAAAACGCCAAACTTCTTCTGATCGTGAGTGACGGAAGGGGAGTGTTTTCTGAGGGGGAGTCCTATGTGACGCAGGCAGTTAGGAAAGCTAGGTTAAGTAACATTTTTACCGTGTGCGTTATAGTGGACAGTCCGGAGAATCAGAAGTCTATCTTCGATATAAGGTCGAGTATTTTCAAGGAAGGGCAGTTTTGCGGGTTTAGGGACTATATGGATGCGTTTCCTTTTCCGTTTTATATTATTTTGAGAGATATTAACACGTTGCCTAGTGTTTTGAGTGACGCGTTGATGCAGTGGTTCGAAATGATTACTTCACAATAGTAAAATTTGAACTGTTTTGTTAATATGTGCTCAATGTTTTTTATATTCATGCTGTATTTTAATGATAATGATACAAATGTTACGACAAAAAACAATCTTTTTTTGCTTAGTATTTTTACAAAATTTAATTATTTTTTACTTTGTTTACTCTTGTGTATATCTTTATAAAAGTTAAGTTATTAAATAAACGTTTTTTGAAAGTTTTAATGTATTTTCTGTTCATAATTACCTATTTATAAAAGTATACCTACAGCGTGATCAAATAAAAATTACATCACTATACCTGGTGTTTTTCAAAAGTAACTTGACTCCTATAGCTTCTTTATTTTTTCAGATAAAAAACGAGATTTGGTATGTTAGTATAAGGACATTCAGTTCTATTAAATATAGTAGAAAAATACCGAGGGTACCATGTAAAAAGCAAAAGTTAATACTCATTACCGTCACTTCCTGTTTCACAGGAAATGTCCAAAAATAATTGAATACGTCAATCAATCCTGATTTAGGTATGTCCTATACCTAAAATAAAGTTATAGGGGTGAGCCACTGTCGAAAAACACCCGGTATAGCCAAAATTAGACAGGAGCTACTCAGGTGAAAAAAATCTAGACTAGTTTAAAACACTTGTTATATTTATTAGTAAAAAATAATGATGATAATGAAGAGGCCTTTAAAATATTTAAATATATATTTTTAATTGGTAAGATTTTTAGTGAAAAAGATTTTTTTGCGCCATTGCCTTTGATTAACTAGCTACGCCACTGCATTATCTTCTATATTTATGCAAATTATAATCTATCAAAATTAAGTGTTATTGCTACCTGTCCAATCATAGATCGATATTCATTTCCTGTTCTTTTAAGCGATAACCACTCCATTTAATGGAAAGCATGATTCTCCATTTTGGCTTTTGACCTTGATCTATATCAAGGAAATATATTTTCAAGAGCAAACTGTCTGGTTTATATCAAAAACCTATGCAGTAAATTATACAGGATGTCCCAGAGCAAGCTTGCATTAATTAATTAACTTTTGACGCAAAGTCGTTCCAGGTTAATATAATTTATAAAATGAACAAGAAATAACAGAAAATAATCAGACGAAATGCAACTAACACCGAAAAATTCATATTTGTCAAGAAAAAATAAAAAACCTGACAAGAAAGTGGTTCAAAATAGCTACCATGACGTCTATTTCGTCTTTAATGTATGAATATAAAAACAGTTCATTTTTAAATCCTTCCTAAGCCTTTTAAATTTATTTACTCCCTAAATATTGAAGCTTACTTAAGAAACACACATCCTGTATATAGGGTGAGTGTTAAATAAGTGCAAATATTTTTAGGAATAGTATATTTCGACCCTAGAAAAAATGTATATGAGTTTTTTGCGCGAAAAAAAAATTAAAAATTTTTAATTTTTTGAAAAAAAATTTTGATATTTTTTTAATTTTTAGTTAAAAAACATAATATCTTCATAATATGGTAACACAGGTAGTAGATTAAATTACAAGAGAAAAAAAAAACAGAAAAGATCCAATGATTTAAGTGAAAAATATTTTTTTTAATTTTCAAAGTAAAATATCTCGGTTATTTTGGACTTATTTGAAAAACTGTAAAGAGAAAATATGTTTCTTTTATCTACCAGCCCTGAAAATATTTGCACTTATTTAAGGCACACCCTGTATAGTTCCACTACTCATTTATTTTTACTATACAAAGTAACATAAGGTTCGTTCCAACCGGACCGAGAACCGATCTTGGGACGGTAATTTCTAGTCGCCCACTTATTGTTTGAAAAGTTTGATCGTTTGTCAAGATTAACAAATGAATTGACTGCTAGGAAATTCCATTCTAGGACGGTTCTCTCGTTAGGTTGGAACAAACATATAATATAATCAATTTATTAACTTACAAATAGATAGCAGTCCACAATACATCTTTTATTGAATTACACAAAAAAATGAAATAAAAAATGTGTCACCTAGATAGATGTCTTATGACATTTTTTTTTATTCGATGACACTAATCTCGATCTCGAATGTAAATATTTCATTCTGTATCGTGAAAAAGGAAAATATATTGATTTTCACCCTTTCTGTGTCCTCACGACATGCTCTCTAACTGAAAACTTTCCAGAAATAATCGATAGATTGGTCACGAAACTCCGCAGTCATCGATTGAAGTTCTTCACGATTCGAGGCAAATTTTGCTCTATTTTAAAGCGTAGTAGATACGGTATGTTATCGCGTAGGAAAGTGAAAACATGTTAAAGTTATGGAGTTCAAAAAAGTCGAGCTCAAAAACAGGGAAATTCAAAATTTCCCGGGGAATAACGAAGGAATACAGAGGAAGACTAGTGCGGAGATTATTAATGAAGCACGACTAGCTATCAAAGGTACCTATCTTTAAAAAAATTCTTAAGAATTACCTAATGCTTTCTATTTGATATTTTTCATTCCAATTTGACAGATTTTTCCAAAATATTTTCATAGATATTCAGGGTAATTCGAATATACGGGGTCCTGTATACAGGGTGAAAAAAAGGGAGAGCCGAGCGGTATGATTTTTTTTAAAGGAACACCCTGCATATTATTACATTAGAACTCTATATTAAAATTTAAAAAAAACTTTAAAAAGTAACGATACAGGCTTGGTTTTAATAAATATTAGTAACACTAACAGAACTAAGGATATTAAAAAAAAAATAATTGTAATAACTAAGTGTACAAACAAGCAAAAAACTTGTAAAAAATACTCGGTGAGATATTAATCACCGAAACCATGTGTAAAGTTTCAAAATTATTAAAATATTTTATTTCAGAACTCATCATATTTAAATCACCCTGTATATCTATGAAAATATTTTTGATTTTTCTTATATAAATTCAATGCATAAATTTTTAAAACAAGCCATTTTGATATAAATGTTACTCCCTAAATAAGATTAAAACAAAAAAAATATCGAAAAATTTTTTGAAAACAAGAATTATTTTTTATTTTTTTGCATATTTTAGAAAGTCAGAATCCCGAAAAAAACTATGCATCTCCGACGATCAAGCCTCTACAAACACAAAGACCGTTCACACCGAGAAACAAAGAGAGGCATTTGTTTGGAAGTAGCAGACCCAAAGCTGACAGACCACCTAGTTCGTTCAGGTAAAATAAATGTAAATCAAAAATCAAAAATGTGTATCAAAAAAGAAGTTACAATTAAATGTATATTGTTTTATTATGAACAAAAATTATGCTTTCTTTGGCGAGGCTGTCGTGTGAGACCCATCAGAATTTTGTCACTATTTTTATGTATTTTTTCCTAGCTTAAAATATCTTCAAAACGAGACAGACTTGCCTGTAACACCCCCAGACGATATTCAAGCTGCTTCGGAAAAGAACGGGAAATACTTGAAGCATGTCAGGATCAAAAAACATAACCGTTCGAGCTCACTGAGCGAAATCACAGAGAATATTTTCAATATCACCACCAAAGAACCAAGGAAAGTGAAACTACCATCGCTGGACAGCGTCAAACCCCTACAAAAAAGAAAACTCTTTGCTAACACCTCTTTGGATAACTGTAAGTAAACTAGAATAAGTTAAAATTTAATCTAACCTTAATAAAAATATAATAGTACAAGAACTAGCAACGCCGGAAAAACGATAATTTTAACAAAGCTGGTTCTGAATCTTTTGCTATGCTCTCCTGTGCTGTTCTGACTAAAGTGCGGGTCGTCTGGCTGCCGATAGATTACTGCGGTTTACTACTGCGCATCACATTTGTACATCTTATCCCATTTCCGTGTAGTTTATTGGATTTATCGTTTATGAGTAGAGATACAATGATGCAATTTTCACATTACTTTGCTATTTTTTTATGAAACTAAATATGCTGCACATATTTTTGTCTTAGCGTCCTTAGTTCCTGAAATACAGGACGAATTTGTGATGCGCAATAGTGAACAGATGTTGAATACCGATTGATACAGATATGATGCGCAGTAGTGCACGCAACATCTACCGGCAGCCAGGCGGTCCAGTAGTATTCTGGTGTGGAGAGCATTAGCAAAAGATATATAAAAGAACAAGCTTTCTTAAAATCACTCTAGAAAACGTTGCTAGCTCTTAGAGTATAAGTAAAACAGCGAAATCGTTATGGAAATGAAAATATAAATGACACCTAGCAAATCGTATATCCGATGAACGGAGGCACGTAATTTTCTCACCAATCGAAGTCTTTAAATTCAACCAGTAAAATTAATACCGTATCATCGCAGCGTCGGATAACGGATGCATGAAAATCGAGCTTAAATCGTTCTAAATGTTACAGTACCCGAAGAAACTGAACCCGCTCTGGAGAAACCGATCGTCGAATCCCGTAAAGCCTTCAGCTCACCCCAAGAACGAACCAACTTTGAATCAGACTCAGACTCGTCGGTGTTTGGCAGGCCCTCAATTAGACACAGCAACCTCTCGGAATGCCTTCTCCTGGGGCCCCAAAACCTGAGCAAGATCTTCGAGAACAAGCAGATCGTCGAGCACTCAGAGTCGCTGTTTACCCAGACAGGTTACCTCACAAAACAGCTCGTGTCGCACGCGCACAAGCAGCAAAACGATCCGCATAACCTTCAACGCTCAATTTTAGCGGAGGCCGATCAAAAGAGGACTGTGGAGATGGTGCTCAGCGAATTGAATCGGGTGGATGCTCAAAAGTACGATGAGGATGTTGTGAGGAGGTTGTTGGAGGAGTTGTATGATGTTATGGAGCAGGATGATTTGATTGGGAATAAGATTAGCTCTAAGTTGAAGATTGTGATTTTGAAGAATTTGTATAGGTTTGTGGAATCGAAGAACGAAGATATTCTGATAAATATAGCTCAAGTTATCCTAGCTGTAAGTTTTTTTTCTATTTTTTGGATCATATTTTTGACATGTGGGGTCTAGATTATATAGATTTATTGTGTCCTCCTTTCATGAGTTAGAGCTCATCATACAGTCTCAAGGCTTCGACAAAAGCTAGTATCAGATGCAGTTTTACAGAGGTTAGTACTCCATTTCTGATATCAGTCGTACCAAAATTTATGTCCATAATGGTTGTCTCGTCTCGGCGTACTCAGTGATAAGGTGTTCTGGTGTTTCTCCATTTTCTCTACAGAGTCTGCATTCGTCCTTGTTTCTTAGCTTTAATCTACTGAGGTGTTCAATGAGGGGATAGTATCCTGTTAAAAATCCCGTGACAATCCGAAGATTATTTCTACTTAAATCAAAGGAAATCTTCTCAGTAAATCAAAGAGAGTCTTCCAGGTTCTTGAGTGCCGCTTTAAGTTGTTTTGACTTGTAACTCTCTAGTGTATGTTGTATTAGTGGTAATTTTACTATTTAGAACAAAGTTCATGATAACTAGCTTCCCACTAGTTAACTCGCATACCCAACAATCACAACCTACGGCGTCTTTTGATTGCTATTACCGTCAGCTGTAAATAAATAAAAAAATAAAAACAGCTGTAAAAAAAATAAAAAAAGTTCTATATTTGTGGGACACGAACCTGGGACCTCTCGATCCCGAAGCGACGGCCTCACCAATGGATCCACAGCTGCTCTTGCAAAATTGGCTATAGCTAGGCGTTACTTTCCGCCGCGCTTAAAACCGTTCATAAAATAAGGCGACAGCAAGCAAAAAAAAACTAGTGGAAGCTATTTTCATGATATACTTTGTTGAGTACTACAAGACTAGAATTAGAAATATTTTTTAACAGACAATACTATTTTTTATTCTTTTTAGATAAAAGTTACTGGCAATAACCTTAGCGGTGTGTGCAAATTGGTCTTTAAGATATCGAAAAATGACAAGAACGACCATTTATTTTTTAGAAAAAACTTTCTAGGTAAGTCGCCACATTTTAAATAATTTTTACTCCAACTTTGTAAAATGATGTTATGTGTATTTGGTGTGTTTTATCTGTTATTTAGTATCTATACTTTTTGAAAATTTGTTATTAAAAAAATATAAAATGTCAAAATTCAATGGATATATCAATAAATCATGATAAAGTTCGAGCTATAAAAATATGCATTTTCTTCATATCACCCTGTATAACTACTATTATTTTATTATAGCAAGGCAATATTTAGTAAAATCAAAAAAACACTGCTTATAAAAGCTATGATGTACTAAAATTGTTATTTTCACAAAATTGTAAATTTTTCAAAAACGGCAAGATTTAAGTAAAGGTAAACTTAATTTTTTTAATCAAATTTATCTTAATTTTACATATACAGGGTGCTACATTTAAAAAAAATACAGCTTTAATAATTTTTCGAAAAAATTTACTCAAAATATTCCTATTTTATGTTCATTCTGACTTTCCTTGTATATTTTAGAACTATTTCTGGACGCCTTGGGTCGGTCCAGTCCTATAGATGATGCAGAGGCTTGTGTATATGGCTATGGTTCCATTAAATTCCTGACCATGAACTCAAAATTGATGGAAAAAATCTTAGATCTGGGTATTTTACCCTTGATGGTATTGCATATAAAACTTATCAACAATGCTGTAAGTATGTTATAGGAAATATTATGTGAAAAATAAAATTTAGTTAATAAATTAAATTTAGTTTAATTTATTATGATTAAAAGTTAACTATTATTTTTTAGTCTATGTATAAAATGATGATTTTCTGTGATGAATTTATATGAAAATGAATAAATTTTGTTGTAGAAGATTGATAAAACACCTATGCCACAACAGACCAACCACGTTATGTTTCAACTGACAGGAGCTTTAAGAAACTTGGTTTCTGAAGATCGTATTTATGATAACTTTATTTCTTCTGGAGCTGTGGTACAACTATGTCAAACTCTTAACGAATTCTCAAACGATGTTGATATCGTTACCAATATTTCCAGAACTCTCAGGTAAGAAAAAAAAATCGGAAAAATACTAGTGATGTGCATAAATATCGATATATTGAACTATCGACATGGATTACAGTATCGATATTTTAAATTTTGACGGCTTTTTGATGATATACGGTACTTATTTTCAGTACTATATCAACCAACGAGGTGTGCTGCGATAGTTTAGACGAAATCTCGCATCTGTACAAGACTTTCATAAAACTGTTCGCCCTGTATACGGAAAACGAAGAAATCATAGTGAGACTGACTTATACGCTAGGAAATATCGTGGCAAAACTTGATAATACCAGAGTTAAGGTAAGAGGTATATGTTTAGTTTATTTAGGAACAATTTATTCGTTTTTTTTTCGTTCTTTTGCATCTAGTATTTCAAAGAAGAGAATTCGATAGACAGTTTGTTGCATCTTTGGTCGACATATTTGGAGAAAACTCTGCATATATGTGCTTTGAAACAGGAGAATTCAATTTTTTCTGCAAGTAACAGCGAGGATGTCATGATAAAGGTACCCGTTGAAAATATATAAACATTTAATTATATACAGGGTGTTTCAAATTGGGGTTTTACGTCAAAATAAACTTGAGAAGGAGGAAATGATAAAGATAAGTTCAATTACTAAAGAGATCATCATTGGACTCACTAACAGACAACTTATATAAACCACCCTGTATCTCTTATCGTTTCCTAGATTCAAATGGTGAGAGCGTAATTTGAAACACCCGGTATATGCTTTTTTATGAAAAATACTAAGGTAAAAAATCTTTTTATTTTCATTTAGGTTATTCGTGTGATAGCCAACATTGTAATAAACCCGGATATAGGCAAAGCTATCAATGAACAATATGGCAACAAACTTATTGAAGAATTTCTGAAAGTACTCATCAGCAATCCTTTCAAGAAAAACGAAGAATTAGTACTATCTATCTTAAGTACTTTGAATAATTTATCCTATTATTACTCCAGTGACTTGGAATTGGATATATTCCATGTCAAACAGATTGATATTGCTGAAGGTAATTTAATTATTTTTCTGATGCTCCCTGTATAAGTATATGAATAATTTCTTTTTCTCTAGGTATATTAGAGTATACAAGATCGAAAAATAATGAATGTATTATCGAGACTATGAGGATATTGGGTAATTTGTCTAGATCTAAGATTACAAGAAGTTATATCGCAGAAACCGATTTGTTTGATGTTCTTCTGAATATTTTAAATACAGGTAAATTAAAAAGAAGTAGTAAAGCCACAGAATATTATCCTCGGATATGTACCCAAGATATACAAAAAAGATGTAAACAGAAAAATACTTGTTTGCCACTTGTTTAGTTTTGTTGAAGATATTATATTTTATTTAATCATGATTTCTTGAAAAATATAAAAATAAATCAATATTTTTAGATGAAATGACGCTTTTAAAGACTACAACTGGTGTGTTTGTTAACGTTCTCTCTGAAAACAGATCGAGAACAATCTTCAAAAATAAGGGAGGTGTTCAAAAATTGATAAATATACTGAAAAAGTATTGTGAAGACGACTGGCTGCTAGGCAGTTTAGTGTGTCAGGTTCTTTGGAACTACTGCATAGATACTCTGGATTTATATGAACTGCTCACAGATTCCGAGATTAACCAATTGCTAATTCTACTTGCAGATTATTTAGGTAAGATTATTAGAGAAACAATAATATATACGGTCGAAAAAAACGGCGTCAGAGATGGCTTTGAAATGAATAGAATAACACTGCCATTTTGTATGTAAAATAATATCGCATCCATCGTCATTTCCAAACCAAATGGGCGACGTTTTTTTTTCGATCACACAGTATAATTATTATACTAAAGATTACCATATATTCTGAAAAAGCTCCTCCCACGTTTTTTATTGTAAATTTTATAAAAAAATCTACATTATTCCTTTTCATCTTTAGTGCCCATTACTAGCATATTTTATATAAAAAAACGCAGTCTAATTCTCAAACTGTGTAGCCATGTATACAGAGTGTCTCTCCTTAATAAGTGCAGGTATTTTAAGGAGTGATAGGTCTGGAAATAAGGAATATATTTTCTATTTGCCATTTTTGAAAAATACGCAAATAAATTAAAAATAACCGAGTTACATAAATTTGAAATAAAAAAAAATGTTTAAATTTTGAGAACGGCCTGCATCACCCTGATTAACCAGCAATCAGACGATTCTGTTGCCACATTGATAAGAAAGTATAGAATTGATTGAAAATATGTTATAATAGGGTGATGATATAAGAATCTGCAATAATTATTATTAAGAATTATTTTTTCAGTCCAGTTGAAAATAACTGTCAAAAATATATTAGTAAGTGTTAAAAAATAAGTACAGTGCCTTTTTCTAGGATATATGCCTAATTTCTAGAATATTATTTCTACTATTCTATATTATATTAATTTTCGCAATTTATTGTGTAGAAAATTAATTATACTGTGAACTTATAGAGACACAAATATCAGAATGCGGATAATGTAGGAGGTGGCAACATTGCAAGCCTTTGAAACACCGTCAAAAAATATCAGGAGAATCAGTGAACCTGCGGCTGTAAAAGTTTTTTTTAATTTCAAGAAAAATCTAAAATGTTTGCAATTTTTCGCGTTTCTGAGGTCGAAATATATTACAAGTTAAAATACTTGCACTTATTTCCAGGGTTGCCAATTCTCAAGGTTGAATACCTGCTAGATCCGTATATTAAAAACCGTTAGAATTCGCTAGGAGCGATATTGAAACTGAAATTTTGCGCGTCGACCAATTTAGAACCTTTAGTACCTAAGGCTTTCATCCCAAAATAAAACGATTCTAGTTCTAGGTACTTTAAGAATAAATGAAAACTATGCGATTAAAATAGTTGTTTAGTATTTAAACAACAATTTTTGTGTCAATCTTACTTATTTATTATTCCAACATTTAAACCACAGAAAAAACTTTATTCCCTAAATGATTTTTCCCCGTCAAACTGAAAAACACCGCCAAGTTGGCAACAGTGCTTTGTATTAATATTATTAATTTTATCTCATAACAGACGAAGAAAAACTATTTGGCGTGGATGAAAACATCGAGGAAGTCGAAGTTTACGTCACTCAAGAGTACTTGATGTGGGAGGAGTTTGCCAACGTTGCCACGAATCTTCTGGAGAAAATTGAATATTTTCTGGACACATTTGATCAAATCCAAATACCGGAAGACCAGAACCCGAAAAAACCGACCAGGGATTCGAATACGAATATTAGTTTTGCCGCTTGGTAGATACAGTGTATAAAAAAATGTATTGTTATAATATAATGAAACATAGATTTTATTAATATAAAGTTTGTAGCATAATAAATGTTTTTTTTTAACTTATTTAAAATCTGCTGGCATTGAACTAATAATATTCCTAATTTTTTCTAATATAATTGTATTGTTGCATATACAATTATTTACACCATACGGGGGCATTATAACTAAATGGTCTTCTATTTTCAAGTAATCTCCTACTTCTTCAGCTTGAATGAACATCTGCCCAAGCCATTTCCTTAACTTTGATTTTTCTAAATTTACATCACAATCAACCTCTTGAGTTTCTTTCTGTTCTAAATACGTTTCATCCACTTCGTGTGAAATTACTTCAAAAGATTCAATGGCATGGTGAAATACTATGACTACCTGAGGGTTTTCTTCTGAATCAGTTGGTTTGCAATGTAAAATAACAGTTTTATAGATAGGATCAATTACATAGAGTTTTCCAGTATAAGAAGTCTTTTCAATTGTATTAATTTTTACCAGTTTTCCTACTAAATTCTTCATATAAATTGGGTCATTTTTAAAGATAAGGTCTTCAAATAGATCCATCTTCTATAATAAATCTGTTTATAGATATTCAAGAATCAAATAACAATTTTTTAGAGATCATTTTGTTAAAAAAATTAATGTTTAGTTTGTTTGTAAACAAAAGCTTTTGAGGTTATTCCAGTAATTCTTCTTCGTTCTTATGACAAATAGGTGTTGGTATGTAGGCAACCAGTAATACCTTGAGCTTTCAAACAAAATTTGCAATTTTTCCAGAGATATAGACATAATAATGTCTATATCTCTGATTTTTTCAAAGTGTATACAGAATGTTCGAAAAATGCACTAGCAAACTGCTAAAAAGTTTCTATCTTTGGTTTCTACCGTATGATCGAATAAAAACGGCGTCAGCGATGGCTATGAAATGAAGATCGCTGTCATTTTATATGTAAAATTATATGGAAAATGTCATCGATCGTCATTTTCAAGCCAACTGGACGCCGTTTTTTTTCGATCATACGGTATAAATATGGGCTCGAAAATGTGTAATTTTAAAGATACAGGATGTAAAATTTAAAAAAAATGGATTTTTCAAAAGTCAACTTTCTTGAACTTTGTTAATGCGATATTTCTATAAATATTAAATTAAAATTATTAACTTCAGTGGCGTCAAAAGGAACACATTATTCAAAATAATTGAGCAAAACTGTACGCCACTGACTTTTCTTGTAATTTTTATATACCGTATGATCGAAAAAAAAACGGCGTCAGCGATGGCTAGGCAAAAGAAGATCGCTATTATTTTATATGTAAATTTATATGGGAAATGTCATCGACCGTCATTTCCCAGCCAACTGGACTCCGTTTTTTTTTCCGATCATACGGTATTTTTAAATAAAGATAAGAAATATTGGCATTTATAGGTAGTAATTAGAGACAAGTCGAAACACAAAATAAAACTAATTTTCAGTGCTAAGGGAATATTTTATATGGGTTAAGTATCCTGTTAGGATCCAGCAATTTTTTGACATCTGTCATAAGGTGAAACGCTCCTGGCGAGTTGGCCATGGGCAAATAGCGGCGTTTGAGAAAACCCACACCGTGCTCGGCACTGACACTGCCGCCAAATTCCGTCGTTTTGACAGCTACGAACTTTTCCAGCGACGTTTTCAGAGTTTCGTCGTACTTTTTCGAGACTGCGTTCAGATGCAGGTTGCCGTCGCCTGCAAAACAAATGAACAGGCTTCGTTTGTATTTGACAGGTTGCGACAGGTTGCTTGACAACTATACGTACCCAAGTGCCCGAATCCAAACACACTATCGACGCGATTTTTCAAAAACGATCTAGTCTCGTCCACCATGGTATAGTAGTGCTTGATGGGCAAAGACACGTCGAATAAACCCACCCAACCGCATTTTTTGAACCCCACTGGTACCTTTTCTCGCAATTCCCATAACCCCTGCAACGAACAAATCACAAAAGATCATAAAAAAAATTCCAAAAATTATTACGAGTGATATTTTTACATGATTCGATGATTCTTGAAATCTTGACAGTGTTTTAACACTAAATTCGCCTATTTTTTTTTTCTTTCTTCCTTAAGTTCTCTAATTTAATTATATCTAATTGTTTCCGGATGAGTTATAAAGGGTGTGCCAAAAAGTTTGCAACAAATAAGAATGAGGAATTTCATCAGTATGTTCAATAATTTTTTTAATGCTTCGAAAAAAAAACATTTTTGAATGGAAAAACTGATATTTGCGTACTTATTTGATACTCCCTGTATACAGTGACCTCCCTATATACACTTAATTTTTAATGAGCTAAGTTATACAGAAAAATAACTAAAACTGCAAAGTTATACAGAAAAATAAGAAAAAAAGACAATAAAATAAAAACAAAATTGAAAAAAAATAAAACAGATATTTCTGAAACCCCCCAAAAGAAAATTAAATACATTTTTTTAATATATTTTGTTCAAAAAAAAACGGTGTCATAGTAAGCCTTGAAATGATGATATATGATGATTACCCTGTATTCTATATGTTTAAAGTAAAAAAAAAATAGTACTAACCCTGACTTTTGTATGATCGCTGGCAACTGTCCCGTTCAGCACAAAATGCTGATTCAATGCTGACTCAACAAAAGCATGTACTTTGTGTTCGTCGTGCTCATCGCTGCTGCCTGATGTTTCTATGAGCAAATAGAATGGGTAATCTCCAATGGGTGACACAGTTTGAACGTATTCATGAGCAAATTCGATGGTTGCATGATCCATTACTTCAACAGCTGATAAAATCTCACCTAAGTCGCTGCGAGCTTTCTTGAAAGTTTTCAACACTTTGTCATACTTTTGTAACCCTATAAAACGAATAAAATTGCAATCTGTACCACTCTACAAGATGTAAAAGTGTTTAAAATTAAAAAAAAACTCAAAACTTGTAAATGTACTTTATTCGGAGATATAATATAGTAGATCAGGGTTTCTGGGACACTCTGTACATACCTAAAAATGCTACGTGTTGACTTCTAGGTCTTGGTGGACACTGTAAAATCACTTTAGTGATGATTCCCAGTGTTCCTTCTGAACCTATGAAAAGGTTTTTCAAGTGAAACCCTGTGTTATCTTTCTTCATTGGTTTTAACAAATTTAGTACTTCTCCATTGGCTTTGACCTAAAAAATATATTCGCCATATCTATGTAAAGAACTATCTCAAAATAAATGTACAATAAATACAAACAAACTTTTTTAACATAAATAAGACACATTTTTAAAAACTATTTGGATATGGTACTTACAACTTCTAAACCCAGAATATTGCCATGTAAATTTCCGTATCTTATGAGTCTCATTCCTCCGGCATTCGTGGCTACATTACCACCGATATGGCATGATCCCTTTGCTCCTAAGTCCAGGGGAACCACAAAACCTTTTTCGGCCACTGCTTTGTCCAGAGATTCTAATATCACACCGGATTGGCATGTTACAGTACCTAAAATAGTAATGGTGTAGAACTAACATAAAGTATAAAGAAAATCTGTTAAGAATTTAATGTAACACTTAAAAAGCAAAAAAAGCAAATGTATCCATATATAAAATAATACTCCATATATTTTATATATGGATACATAAAGACTACAATCTTTAAATTATGGATACATAAAGGCCATAGTCTTTAAATTAATGGATTCCTACAGGCGATAGTCATTGTATTATGGATTTATATGGGATAGTCTTTAAATTATAGATACATACTCGCTATAGCCTTTAAATTATGGATACATAATAGCTATAGTCTTTAAATTATGGATACAGACTGGCTATACTCTTTAAATTATGGATACATAAAGGCTATAGTCTTTAAATTATGAATACATACAGACCATAGTCTCTAAATTATGGATACATAGGGGGTATAGTATTTAAATTATGGATACATACATAGCCTTTAAATTAATGGACTCATACAGGAGATAGTCATTAAATTTATGGATTCATATCGGATAGTCTTTAAATTATAGATACATACTCGATATAGCCTTTAAATTATGGATACATAATATCTAGTCTTTAAAGTATGGATACATAAGGGCTATAGTCTTTTAAATTAAGGATAACTTAAAGACTATATTATAATGATGAAGACTCAGCGTGTGGGTGGTTGCAGATTCAATAAAATTACACTAATACACTCAAGCCCTTACCCGAATCTTCGTCTATATTAATTATTTCGTTCATCATCTCCATAGAAATGATGATCTCATCAAACACAGGAACGCTACCTCCAGAGGCTCCAGTGTTGCCACCTTGCGGGCACACTGCCAACTTATTTCCATTGCAAAACTCCAGAATTTTAGAAACTTCCTCCGTAGTTTTCGGTTTTAAAACCACGTCACTGGACCCTAAAATTGTGTATACAGAGTTAAATTAAAAATTCTGGATATTTGATTTTTTTTACGGAAAAAATGTGACTTTTGATGAAAATTTTATTTTAAAAATTATGAAAAAATGTAATGAAAAAATGTATTTAAAAAATGTAATTAAGATTAAGATAAAAAAATTTAATTTTTTTTTTTGAATATACATGGTACTTCAAAAAAATGTGTCGCTGACATTTATACAGTAAAAATCATCAAGGAAATGGTGGTTTGTGCAACGTTTTCGTTCATACGGTATATTTGATATACAGGGTATTTTGAAAATAACAAAAATTAACATACCACGAAGCTGCAAGAACCAATCAACATTATGTCTCTCTAGATCAAATAAATCTGTAACAACTCTTTCATTGCCCAACAAATTTTGAAAAAACCTCAAGTGCGGCTCTTGAAAATAGTTATAAAAACCTCTTTCGACGTTAAACGTATTCTAAAAAAATCATTTTTAATTTTAAATCAACAAATTTTGTTCCTTACTTTGGTAAAATCAGGTAAATTTGTGTATGACCTCGAACTGATATTTTTTACGTTAAAAATTACCATCGACTTAAAAAACTTATTAGACATCATTTTTAAGAAAATATACAGTTGTCTTCAACATGCAAAACACTTACATACTGAATAATAAAGTGTCTCAACTACTAAACGCTCTAAATTTTATCTAATCACAATTTTTATTCTATAAACAAATTAAATGAAGCCCAAGATTAAAATAATAACAATGTAAGGTTAAAATTTACATTAAAATATTATTTCAACTTTTTTTTTCAACATTTATTGCACATCCTTTGAGTTTTTTTTTGTTTACTGAAACCATGAATTTTGTGTAAATTAATAATTATCTAAATAGATAAATTTAGCTTAATTTTAATCTATAAATAGAACTTTCATTGATAAATAGAATTTCCTTTGATAAGAACTTATAAAAACAAAATATTTACATGCTGTCCATAAATAAACAAGTCAAATGATTTATTGTTATCAGGAATATCATGATTTCTGTCACGTTTATGTATATACAGGATGTTTCAAGCAAAAAAGATGATAAATGGCATTTTAAAAAAATCGACTTTTTACTGTTAATCGTTTCTAACAGTTTTATGAATAGCCAGTATAATATTTAATAACTTTTTATAAAAATTTAAGTAGGGTAAAACATTATCTAAAAAAACAAGCAGCAAAAACTTAATAAAAAAAGCCGCAATCGTGCCGAAAAATATTTTAATTATTTTCCTCTTTACAAAAATGTCATTTTTCAAATAAAATTGAAATTATTTTTGTACCCAAAATGTGTTTAGAATTCCTTGTAGAATTGAAAAATCAAAAAATATAGAGGGTGTTCTATACATTTTGTAAATAAAAAAACAAACATACCACGAAATTGTAAGTACCAATCAACATTATGTTTCTCTAAATCGATCAAATCTGTAACAACTCTTTCGTTGCCCAACAAATTTTGAAAAAACCTCAAATGGGGCTCTTGGAAATAGTTATAAAAACCTCTTTCCACATTAAACGTATTCTAAAAATAAATATTTTGAATTTTTAATTAAAAACTTTTGTATCTTACTTTGGTAAAATCAGGTAGATTTTTGAATGACCTCGAACTGATATTTTTTACGTTAAAAACCACCATAGATTTAAGAAGCTTATTTGACATCATTTTTAAGACAATATAAACGTATGGTCTACATGCAAAACGTTAAATACTGAATAATAAAGTGTCTCAACTAATTAATGTTATCTAATCACCAATTTTTATTCTATAAACAAATTAACACGCGCCTATAAGATTAAAACAATAACAATTTAAGGCTCAAAATTAGATTAAAATTTTATTTGTTTTTTTTTCAAGATTTAGTACATTCTTCGTGTTTTTTAATGTTTAATGAAACCATGAATTGTGTAAATTATTATTTAGATTTAAAAAAACATAAAGTTATTGGTAAAAAGATGTGTTTTTGCATGATATGCAGGAAGTTACACTGAAACTGTTAGTTAAGAAAATCGAATATAGAGCTTTTTGGGGGTCAATCTGTTTACATAGATATGTAAAGTTTGAAAAATAATAACAGAAAAGTTATTAGAAAAAAAAGAAAATAATTTTTTTACTTACTTAATCATTAATTTTGTAAGTTTACTCTCATTTTATCACAATATTGTATGCTGATTGTGCGTTATACATATTTTTATTCCAAAAATTTTCAAAGTTAAAAAAAAGTGTGTTTTATAATTTTTATTATTAGATACCTATTTATTAGAGCTGATATAACTTTATAATCTGTTGAAATGATAGTTATTCCTCTGGTTATTCTCTTATACAGGGTGTCCCAGAAATAAGTACAAGTATTTTAAGGGCTGGTAGATCTCGATAAACAAGAAACATATTTTCTCTTTATCGTTTTTCAAATAAGTCCAAAATAACAGAGTTATTTTACTTTGAAAATTTCCAAAAAAAAATATTTTTTGCAAAAATTTTGAGAACCACTGGATCTTTTCTGGATTTTCTGTCTTGAAAATTCAATCTAATAATACCTATGTGACCATATTATCAAGAAATTATGTTTTTTTAACTAAAAACGAAACAAAATTCCAAAAAATTTTTAAAAAAATTTCGAATTTTCACGAAATTTTTTTTTCTTTATTTCTAAAAACTAAGTATTTCAAAAACTATTTTACAGAGAAAAATATTAGGAAATTTTCAAAACACTTTTTTATTTCCTCTAAATAACTAACTTTTAATGAATTTCTAATTTAATTAATTTTACCCAATAACCTCATTGATTTTACTAACTAAAAGTCAGGCAACCAGTAAAACAAGATTTTTAAATAATTACATAATAAAAATTATAAACAAACTATTTAGAAAATGTCGCTCGAAGGTTATTTTATCGTAATCTGTTTCGTAAAGTGAACAAAATACTTATAAACCATGTGTTTTACTTAGTTTATTAATTAATCTTACAGATTAATTTTTTTATGAAGTCGTCCAGCATACAGCTGATTTTGACATTGATTTGTTTTTATTTATTTAACCTAGCTTAATTTTAAATGTGTTTTAAATATAATATTTTTAATATAAACTGAAATATAGTAAAAATATGAGTAAAGACGTGTTATTACGCGTAACGCAAATTAATGCTATATTTCTGGACAGCGAAATAGAAAAATTATTCCGTCAATTGCTTCAAAATGCATTTAAACATTTACCAGTAAGTAAAACTTATATTTTTACACAAAATACTATCCTATCATTTCCAGCCTGGTTTTCTAGCACGTATGGAACCAGAAATTAATCTTCTATTAAGATTTAGCATATTAAACTACTCAATTCTACGCAACGGGTCCACTTTTGGTCAGCAAATGTTAAATGTCCAGTACGAGAACATGTCCACCGTTAAAAAAGCTTTATACGTTATTTTTAATTGTTTAGACTATTTTAAAATACGCTGCGAGCACTCGTTTCCATCGCATAGTATTAGTAGGACTATTTCTACGCTGTATGTGGCCTACAAAATATTGGATTTTATCAATATATCGGTGTTTTTGAAGAATGGAGTGAAACCGAGGCTTAGCGATAGAATTTTAGGTTTAAATCAAGTATATTCAAGTGGGACAGGTTCACGTAGCTTTACTAATAAGTATATGACTAGAGAACTGTTATGGAATGGATTTATTGTGAGTATACAGGGTCTTCCAGTGTACAGAACAGTGGTTGTATATGAAAAAATAACATTTAAACTGTTAATTTTAGGAGATTATGATTTATACTCTTCCACTGATAAACTTCTACAAATTAAAAAGGGTGATAAAACAATACATTCCGAGTAAAAAACAGAAATCTTCCCTTATCGATGCTGAACGTAGGGTGCTCACTGTCAACACTAAATGTGCTCACTGTGAATTGAGCCCTATATTGCCCCACCATATGGGCTGTGCTCATATATTTTGTTACGTCTGTTTGAAGGCAGGTATTTTAGTCAGAGAAATAGGTAAAGGTAGAGGAGTTCTAAGGCTTTTACATTTATACATAGGGTGAGTCTCAAAAGTGGCTCAGAGTGACATGGCTGTGTTAAAAACACCAATTTTTAATCTAGGAGCCTTGGAAAAATAGATTTGATTGTCTAAAGTGTTTCGTGTCTTGTTAAAAGATTCCCAAATTGTATTTTTAATCATATCTCAATTTTTTCAAATGGAATAAGGGTGGCTCGTTAGCATACTTGAAAAAAGCATTTTTTTACAAATAATTTGGTACCACACACTTGGTATTTCGAGTCAAATTGACGTGAATTGTTCGAGTCAAATTGACGTATGAACCGCATGTTACAATTTAAAATAAACCATACGTGAAAATGTCAAAAGTTGACAAGTGACGATATGTCATTCTATTCAGTGTGTAATTTTCTATTAAATAAAGTAAAAATATACTGAGGGTGTCATTTAAAAATCAAAATTTGTAGTCATTTCCGGTGAAACAGAAAGTGACTAAAAACAACTGGATACGTCAATCAATCCTAATTTGTTTCACATATTCGAGGTTTCACAAGCCACGTTTGAGACACACCCGGTATATGATATGGCTCTTTTAACAGTATTTTTTTTTCAAAACCACCTCGTGATTTTTTGCCTTATTATTTTACTTATATCTTTTTTCTCATCTAAGTTTACTTACTTCTCTGGGACATATACAGGGTGGTCCGAACCGTATTCCGGAAACTTCGGCAGCATATTCTACAGATAAAAATAAGTAAAAAAGTTTGTATAAATGTAGCCAACTGGACGCAGGTTTTTTTTCGATCATACGGTATTTAGTCAACATATTTAATTTATGTCAATGATGACAGGTATTGATAATTTCGACTCCAAATATCTTGAGAACGATTGCCCGTAGCGATTTTTACCAAGAGACCTTTTTTACGTAATAAATGCCGTAAATGTATATTTTTTTACCCAGTAGTTTTATGGTGGGTTCATACAGCCAAATAAAATAAAATAAGAATAAAATAAAATAAAATAAGAAAGTTGGTTATATGGGACACCGTACATGCGTTCATACAGCCAAATAAAATAACAAATAAAATAAGAAGTCTTTATCTTTTAACTTCTTGTTTTATTTTATGTGAAAACGGCTTTGCGCACGCTTAATTCTAACCTACAAATATTTTCAGTTTGGATTTAATTTATTTTATAATTTCACATAAGTAAAATGTATAATATAGTAGGCAACGAATAAATAAATATACTATAAATAGTAAAATTACTATAAACAATCGTAAAAGTTAACTTTTATCCAGCCTCATCGTACTGCGCATGAGCAAATATATATTTCTTATTTTATTTTATTTGACTGTATGAACGCACACAAATAAGAATTCCTTATTTCTTATTTTATTTTATTTGGCTGTATGAACCCACCATTATACAGGTACGGACAAAACGTTGTTACTCGTCAAACCAGTTAAAAACATGTAGGTGGCGCCCTCTACAAGTAGGAATCATATTGACATCAAAATCATCAAAATTTCTCATATCAAAAAACTCCTAGACACCAATTTTCATCCAAATATTGATGTTGCTGCAGAAATTATTTGGAAAAATCTAAATAAAAATGAAACTTCTACACCCTGTATCTCCGAAACTCAGCCTTTTAGGACATACATTTATACGAACTTTTTTACATATTTTTATCTGCAGAATATGCTGCCGAAGTTTACGGAATACAGTTCGGACCATCCTGTATAATTTGTCCCAAATAATAATTTCACTTCATATTTATTTTTGTTAATTTTCAGGGTAACTTAAATGCAGACTCCAAGTATGAATGTCCAAAATGCGGACACAAAAACCCAAAATCTGTATGCAACAAAATTATCGTGTAAAAAAAACAATAAGACTGAAACAAGTTTTTAATCTGTTTTTTTTTTAAATACCTGACTATAAAATATAATATCTTCTAACAAAAAAATTGGATTTTTTTTAATATACGTATATATTTGATCTAACTCTAAAAAATGCATTGCACTTAATACAAAAAAAATTAACAAGTAAAAATCGATAAAAATACAATACTCAACAGTGTGTGTGTGTGAATGTATGTGTGTAGGTTTTTGTGGCATAAAATTGATTTAAAAATCGTTCTTTAAGGCATGCGGTATGTTTTCTCTAGTTTTCGAGGTGGCGCTGTAACCCAGCAGCTCGGGGCAAGATTTCTCGCCGTGCTCAATATCTTTCAAAGTGGTCAACAGGTCGTAGTTGATTTCATCGGATACCACAGAATCTTGCCTAAAAAATCAACAATTTCAGTAAAAAAAATTATGAATATAAAAAAAATATTTGCCGTAATTTTTTTTGACGCACCCTGTATATTATTTAGTTTAAGTATTTTTTTTTTTGAAAAAACTATATTCAAAACGTATAAATATAAGCACTACTCCAAAATAAGTGAAGATATGTTTAGCACGCTCAAAAATGGAATAAAAAGTCTACATGCCAAAAAAATATACAGGGTACCAAAAAAATATACAGGTACCCTCTTGTGGGGAGATTCCTCACGTAAAAATAAGATTTATTTTTCTATCAACATAGGTCCGATTCTGCTTTGTTTCCTAGCTACAGGGTGTTGCAGTCTTAATATTTTTTTGGATTTATTATAATTTTCTTGCAAGTGCTTTTAGCGTTTTGAATGAAATTTTGAGGGTAAAAGTTACTATAAATACGACGATTTTAAAGCTACAAAAGTGTCGACATATTCACCAGGGACGCGCATATGGGTTATCACTGGAATATTTTTCTAAAAAAAAAGCATGTACGCCGCTGACTTTTTTTGCTCTTGTTAGCGAAATAGTGTAAGCGGTTTAATGCCGATTAAAAGGTGTCTCTTGATATTTTGTCGATTTCGGCCTCCTTGACGAGATAAACGCAATTTTATTAATTTGCCTTGATCCAAGTCTAATAGCAACCTTTAAAAAAAAAATTAATATTGTTACGGATTCCGTGGGTCCACTAATTTAAACTCACGATAAACTACTTAACGAATTTATTTTTCTCACACTGTACACACAACTTATACTATTTACAACACAATTTATGCAACTACTATTACTCTAACGTTTCTGACACCTTCGCCAATTAATTCACAATTTAAAACGCGGTATTATCAAACTTCAAACTGTCCCAATTGCCGATCGCGCCCTTTTATATAGCTGTGGTGAGTGTTTCTGGAACGTTCTAAAATTATCGGTAACTTTCTGCCATCTACCAGTAAATTCTGTTGTCTGATTCGCTTACTTGTCGACTTGATTAAGAGATGGCGCCTCAACAAAAAAATGTCTTCAGATTTCTTGTAGGCAACCAGCAATACACGTTTTTTAGTTACGCGCTTCTCCGACAGATGGCGCCACATACACCTTGACAATATCATTAATGGTGGGTTCATACAGCCAAATAAAATAAAAATAAAATAAAATAAGAAATAAGGAATTCTTATTTGTGTGCGTTCATACAGTCAAATAAAATAAAATAAGAAATATATATTTGCTCATGCGCAGTACGATGAGGCTGGATAAAAGTTAACTTTTACGATTGTTTATAGTAATTTTACTATTTATAGTATATTTATTTATTCGTTGCCTACTATATTATACATTTTACTTATGTGAAATTATAAAACAAATTAAATCAAACTGAAAATATTTGTAGGTTAGAATTAAGCGTGCGCAAAGCCGTTTTCACATAAAATAAAACAAGAAGTTAAAAGATAAAGACTTCTTATTTTATTTGGCTGTATGAACGCATGTACGGTATCCCATATAACCAACTTTCTTATTTTATTTTATTTTATTCTTATTTTATTTTATTTGGCTGTATGAACCCACCATAACTTGAGAAAGTTTTAAATAAGTACCCATCGATTCCTCATCAAAAAATATGAAAAAAGTTCCTGTAAACATGGGTATGGAAATGCATAGTTTTAGAGTTACAGGCTGTTATAAAAATTTAAATTGTTTTTTGTAATTATCTTAAAAAAATATCATTATTTGAAATTGCTGTACGTTGGACTAATATTAATAATAACTAATAGCAATAATATTTAATAATAAATTAGGTAAAATATATAATTTGGTAATTTTATTTTAATTTTAATTTTATTGTGATTAATAAAATTGCGTTTGTCTCATCAAGGAGGCCGAATACGACAAAATCCCAAAAGATAACTTTTAATTGGCATTAAACAGCCTACATAATTTTGATATCAAAAGAGAAAAAGACAGTGGTGTACATGTTTTTTTTTTTGAAAGATATTCCAGTGATAACCCATTTGTACGTTACCCTCAAAATTTCATTCGAATCGCTAAAAGCATTTGGAAGAAAATTATAATAAATTAAAAGATTATTATATTGAGACACCCTGTAGCTACGAAACAAAGCAGAATCGGACCTATGTTGATATGAAAAATAAATCTTATTTTTACGTGAGGAATCTCCCAACGAATGATTGCATTACACCCTGTATAGAGAAATAAGTACACATAGAGGCACCTTAAAACGCATCTATGTCCACTTATTTCTCTGAAAACTATACAAGGTGTCCCAGAAATAAGTGCAAGTATTTTAACTGGTAGTGTAGTTCAACTCCAGAAACACGCCTATGAGGGTTTTTTTTTCACGTAATTTTTTTTTTGAAAATTCGAAATTTTAAAAAAAAAAATTTGGAATTTTTTTTAGTTTTTCGTTAAAAAACATATTTTTTTGATAATATGGCAACATAGGTAGTAGATTAAATTTACAAGAAAGAAAATCCAGAAAAAGATCCACTGGTTCTCAAAATTTGAGCAAAAAATCATTTTTTTTGGAATTTTCAAAGTAAATAACTCCGTTATTTTGGACGACAAAGAGAAAATATGTTTCTTTTATCGAGATATATCACCCCTTAAAATACTTGCACTTATTTCTGGGACACCCTGTATTTTTCTTACTTATAATTCGGATGATTCGTGACGAAATCCCTAATAAACGACGCCGTAGTATGAATTTCACCACTGGCTCTCTTCTGAATGAACTTAAGATACTGCTGAATAGTACAGTGAGTGTCAGCGTCCACATCCATTCCGTTCAAATAACTATTGATCAGCGGTATCAGCCCTGGAAATTCTCCTTGCTAACGAAAATATTTAACACTCTGTATTACTTTTTAAAAAATTACAAAGATTTTTTTACAGGTGATTCGTCAATACCTTGCCGTTGATGATTTCGTTCACCGTCATCAGACCAATCAAATCGCACTCAGTGGTTTCGCATTTTGTGCCTTTACAACACTGGTTAGCCTCGGGCGGGCTGACATCAGTCGTTATATCCTTTCTGAACCAGAATTTCTGATCTTTCAGTGCGTTTCTTTTCTGAGCGTTCTGTATATTTTCGTCTACCTGAAACGTTGAATAAATGGTCCTAAGCTTCATTCATAACCTCGAAGTTAGTGGTTACTTTCCTCTAATATAATCTATGGCATAGATAAAGGAAATAAATTTAGATTGGAATGCTCGGCTCGAAATCTTTCAAAATTTAAACCGCCCGTATTAAAAAAACCGAAAAGTCTTTAAAGCGTCCATTTTCCCAGGACTGTATATATAGTCTATAAAATTAATAACTTTGAATTTTGACCGTTATTTTTTACCAACATGGCAAATATAAAATCCCTCTGTCGAAAAAGTTACTGATATTCTTTAAATTGAGTGCCTGAACGAATCAGATAGGTAACTCTTTTTACTTTCGTGAAATAGAAAAGGAAAATAATAAAACAAGTGACAGTCTTGCAAAAATCAACACGAAATGTCATAATTGACAAAAGTAAAATGTCATCAGCTTTTGACATTTCTAAATATTAGACCAATGCCGTCTCTAATAGAACAGCCACGGAGCGAGATTTATGACGTCACGCTAGTTAGATACCACAGATTAATAAATATGTTGTACAATACATGGAAAACATAATTATTCCTCGTATTTTTGGTTTGTATTTTAAAAATGATATAGTTTACATGAAATATACATAATATACAGTTAATAAATACAATATAATATATACCTATTTATAGTAATATATACTTTGGCAAATAAACTATGAACCATACAAATGCAGCAAATGTTTTACAATATACAAATAATGAATAGTTGGTGCATAAGATAATGGGTAAAATGTAAAATATATTTTAAATTTTGGGGTTTGAAAATCGATCTAATTTAATTATAATCTAATTTTAATTATTTGCAATCACAAAATTTACTTATATATTATAATGTTTACTGCAATTAATAAACTAATATAAACTTGTCAAAAGATGACCACATATTTTTTTAAATTATTATTCTTAACACAAAAAATATCTACATTGACTATGGAGTACGATTTCAGCCATATTGTAAAACATTTGCTGCATTTGTATGGTTTATAGTTTTATCTGCCAAAGTATTTATTACTATAGGTATATAAATATATATATATATATATATATATATATATATATATATATATATATATATATATATATATATTTATTAACTGTATATTATGTATATTTCATGTAAATTATATCATTTTTAAAATACAAACCAAAAATACGAGAAATAATTATGTTTCCATGTATTCTCCAACATATTTATTAATCCGTAGTATCTAACTAGCGTGACGTCATAAATCTCGCTCTGAGGCTGTTCTATTAGAGACGGCATTGCAACTTAATTTACTAATAAATAAATACAAGATAATAAAACTATGATATTATTCGTACATGACACACAAAAACCGTATTCTAAACTATTGCCAAATACATAAAATTATGATATCAAAAAACTCTTTAGCAGTTTTTTTTTAATTAATTTGTAATCCTGTGACACCCTCTATAATTTATTTTAAAAAAATATATTTTATTTTGAAAATAATAAATAAGTTAGATATTTTAATTTTAATTTTAACACTCGATAATTGTAAATTCATATATAGTAAGTATCTAAGACAATTTTTTAAACTCAGTGCCTTTTGATGGAGTTGTTTTGTTTTTAATACTATCCGATTGAAATGAATCTTTTTGGGCATTCACCTGTTAAGCTTGAACTCCCTGTGACTGTAACTACCTGTGTTGGTAACTATTGGTAACTCAAAAGATCTACATCATTCAATATATCGATATTTGGAAAAAAAGTGAAAGTTTGATATCTGCAGAACAAAGGTATGAAGGATTTTAACAAATAATATACGTACAGTAGAAAAGTACATACCTTTAGCAATCTTCAACATAATTTGGCTTTCTAATAAAATGTATAAGCACTTGTAAATATTTTGTTTTCGTATGATCTCTGCCTTGCTGAGCAGAAAACGACCTATATCAAATTCTTACTTAAAAGATAATGTTTAGTGAAAGTACTTTTTTATTTATAAACATTTATTTAATTCTGTTTTTAGTATTTATTCTTATAAGTCTTAGTAATAGGTAGTAATAGTAATAATAATAAATTTGAATAAGTAATATATTTGGAGACATAATTCTGGAAAAAGCCGAACCGCTCCAAAATTATCAAAAACTTTGGAGAGCAACCGTTGCAAGAACAGCGCCAAATAGTATTTACATGGTCCTTATGGGCACTTTCCAATCTAAACTTGTTTCATTTATCAATGATCTATGGTTAAGAATTGTCAAAACACAATTTATTGGCTTACCTTACTGATTGGAATGAGGAAATTCAACTGATAGGACAGTATAACTCTGGTTAACAATACGACGAAACAAACTATAGCGGCGTTTTCGAAATCCGTCACTTGTACTTCACATGGTCTGAATTCCACCCTCCAGCCAATAGTTGAGTGAGGAGGTGGAGGTTTGAATCGCATCGTCTGCCAATTGGTCGACTGTATATTCTATATTTCAGAAAAAAAATCATATATTGACTCTGTTTGGAAAGAGATTACAACACAAATTTCACGTTCCCATTCCTACTTTTTCTGCCTTACAAGTTGACGTTATTAGATTTTCAATATGACGTTTCATTTCCGAGATTCTAAATACGCACTTTGATTAACACAGAATTGATCAAAAATATCCCGTAAAATCCCAAGTTATTGATGCTTTTCAAATGGAACACTATTTTACAATAGTGTGTTCTATAAAAATAATCGTAGCAAAAGTGATAAGGCATTTCAAAACAATATTTCTTGTATTTAGTGGGTATTCGTGGGGAGATTCTTCATGTAAAAATACGAATTATTTTTTACAACATGGGTCCGATTCCGCTTCGAAACACCCTGTATAAAATTAAAAAGAATGTATTTTTCTCACCTCAAAATGATCCGTATCCTCCTCATCGTTCTGATTGATCTTCTCAGAAAACAGCGACACAGTGTCTCTAATAAATAAATGCGCGATATGCTGTGCCAACAGGTGATCTATGCCGTTATCTCTCAGTTTCCTGTAATCCTCCTCGTTGTACAAAATAGGAATGTCGTTGTATTTTTCACCTTGCGGTGATAAATATGAATCTATGGAATCGTATCTAGATTTCTTGATAACAAACTTATTCTCTTTCAAGGGTTTTAAACCGCGTTCTTCTTCGGTTCGACAATCTACGGAACCGGAAATTATGTTCCAGCGACAGTCTATGTCTGTCAAAAATCCTCTGTGTATGGGAGAGGCCGCGGAAAATGCTAGCTAAAAAAGAAAATTAATTTTTTTTTTAATTTTTTATGCAAGATATGGAACACTATTTTACAATATACTATTTTATAATAGTGTGTTTGTTCTATAAAAATAATCATAGCAAAAGAGACAAAATTACTCAGTATACAGGGTTGTTCACCACATACATAGATTTTTACAAATTGTAAGGTTTGGGTTCGTTGAAGGACTATTAGAGCTACAATCTAAAAATATTTTTACAGAGTGTCCCAAATAAGTTAAAACTATTATAGTTGTATTTTTTTAAATGGAACACCCTGTATATTATTATATTTTTAGATTCTACGATTAAAATAAAGGTAAATTTGATTAAGGTTTATTACCCTTAAACCTTACCGTTTTTGAAATATTTTCAATTTTATGAAATTGCAGTAAAAATTTTAAGGCTTCATTTCTCCAAGGGTATCTAAGTTTTTAATACTAAATAATTACTGAAGTTTATTTATTGATCAGATATTGTGTTGCAATAATAAACGAAATACTACCTTACACAGGGTGTCAAAAAATTTATTTTAAATAATTGCTAGCTTTAAACGGCAATAACTTGTTTAATTTAAATGGAACACCCTGTATATTTTACGAGAATCAGATGCACAATTTAATTGTCTATCCAATTGTAAAAAAAATTGCTGTGTAAAAAAATCTAAAATGTCAATATTCCATGGGTATAGTGATAAATGAGGTCTAAATAATATAAAATGCATTTTCTACGAAAACTTGAAGAAATAGGCAAAGAATGGTACAATACAATTTGATAGACAATTAAATTGTGCATCTGATTCAAGTAAAATATATAGGGTGTCCCATTTAAATTAAACAAGTTATTGCCGTTTAAGGCTAGTAATTATTTAATATAATTTTTTGAACACTCTGTATAAGGTTGTGTAATTTTTATTATTGCAATATAATATCTGATCAATAAATAATCTTCAGTAAATATTTAGTATTAAAACTTTTAATACCCTTGGAGAAATGAGGCCTTAAATTTTTTACTGCAATTTCACAAAATTGAAAATATTTCAAAAACGGTAAGGTTTAAGCGCAATAAACCTTAATCAAATTTCCTTTATTTCAGTCGTAGAATCTAAAAATAGAATAATATACAGGGTGTTCCATTTAAAAAAATTCAACTATAATATTTTTTACTTATTTGGGACACTCTGTATCTTGCAAAATTATTTTTAAATTGTAGCTCTAATTAGTCTTTCAACGAACCCAAAACTTATAATTTGTAAAAATCTGATCGTTTAGCTACAATACTCCGTGTCGTATGTGGTGAACACCCCTGTATATCAGAGCTGCAAGCTCTCAGAAAACTTAAGTCTTTTTTTATTTAAATCATTTTAATGACTTAAGTCATTTGATTTTAAGTAATTTTTCGAAAGCTGACTTAAAATTTAAGTCTTTTTGGACACGATTTGTGATTTAAATCTTTATTCCGAAACAGAAAAAGATACAAGTAGGAGTCATATTGACATCAAAATCAAATTTCTCATGTCAAAAATCTCCCAGACACCAATTTTGATCCAAATATTGACGTTACTTCAGAAATGATTTGGAAAAACCAAACCAAACCACCCTGTATACCTTACCATAATGGGGCACAGTGGTGTCAACTGGTCGTACAGAATCCTAGCTTCGTCGATGTTACAAGCCTGAAAAGTCAACTGTAAACAACAACACCCCATTCCGAATCCCATCGCGTCCAAATACACACAATCTGGCAACGCCGCCTTCCGGATCCGGTGCGAATCGTCGACGGGAATCTTCGTGTTTTTATCCCTGAAAACTTTGACATTTCGTAAAGGAACAGCTAGTTTTTTTCTAAGACAAAACCATCATGTAAATTACATGAAAATCGATAAAATTTGGCGTGCTTGTCATCAAAACGGTTTGGTTTGAAAATTATAAAATTTAGCTTGCATTTTATGTGCATTTTTAATGTACCCATTCTCTGCTTTTACGTTTGCTTCTTCTTTTCAATGGAGTTTAATATTGAAAAGTGCTTTGTTAATAAACTGTAAAACTCGTTAGACAGCTCAAGTGAAGATTTGCAGGACCAATATCAAAACAGATCAACAATAAATAAACAAATCTAATCAATATTTATATTTTTATATCTTACAAAACATTCACACCCTTACTTGTTGTCTTGTTTTTCATTTTCTTTAAATATTCCTCACTTTAAGAAACAATGGCTGCATGATAAATTTAAATAGTCCTAAAAAGTCATTTTATTTAGTTAAAGAAATTTATTTACCTTTACTGCCTACCACCATTGCTTTTGGATTATTTTCTTTTATCTATGGTTATAACCAAATTTTTCAGGAACCGTGTTCCGTAATAAGAAAACTTTCAGGAAACCGATAGAAACGGAACATAAAACCATAACCAAGGTAAGCAACGGAATACACACTTAATTTGCAATAATTTCAATGTCTTTGATGACACATGCACGCCAACTTTCATTAATTTCTCTATACCTACCTGGTAAATTTATAGCTACGTGTTCACCTCTTCGTTTCCTTATATTTCTCACTAAATTCATGAACCGAGGATGTCCAGGAAACACTGCAGCATCCGGGAAAAACAAGGACTTTGTTCCCCCCTCGTTTGGAGTTGGTTGTGATGGAGGAACGGTGAAATTGGGGCACCCTAACCTAGGAAAACTCGTCAGAGTCATCAGACACTCGTTTTCCTTCAACAATTCACTAGCTTCCTCACGTCTGTTTCTCATGTTACTCTCCACGACGTTAAAATGCGCCAACGTGCCCCCGTAGGGCTTTCCCGGGGTTCCTTCTATCATATATGCGGCGAATTCAGGCCTCCATAAGAATTTAACCGTGTTGGGGTTTTGAATTTCGGCTTCGTTTAAAACTTCTAGCATTTCCACTGCCCGAAGACTCACCTTGGCTTCCTGTTTCTCGTGTTCGAACTTGACGATGATGTACTCGATTTCGTCACCCCATTTTAAGACATCTCCCTTTCGTTCTTTTAATTTTTTATAGATGTTGATGAACTGTTTGATTCCGTGTTCGCGTACGTGCGAGGCTAGTTTCTTCGTCTCTTCCCAGGACAGCGGGGTTCCTTCGGTTAAAAGCCCCATTTTTCGGTCTGGACACTTGCAAAACGTGCGACTTTCGAGATAACTGATAAGTAAAAACAAGAGTACTTACGGAATTCGAGAATTATATGTACCGATCTCTGTATCAACACATATCGTATTGCGCAATAAACTATGATATTGCACAAATTTTATGCATAGTCAGTTATCCCTCTGCATAGCGGAATAGTTAAGATACAGAACAAGGTAAAATTTTAAAAGTTTGTATTGTATTTTGTAATGACACTCGCGGAAAAATCTGACGTTTGTTTTAAGGTTAAATCAATTAGGGAGTTTTCGTTGCTTACAAATTGCAAATCCGGTTAACGCTAATTGACAACTTTGACATTTCAATTTCGATTATCGTATATCGTAACCGCTAACTGCCGATATTTTACGGACGTTAGCCAAATTAAAATTAGCCATTGAAAAATACAGATCTAACCTAACCTCGTTCTATTTTGTTTATGTTTTGATTACTTATTTTATCTGTGTTAAACTCGTTGGGAATTCTTAGTGCTTCAACTAATCGAGGAATGTCTCTTTTTTTCAAAGCGGAAATTAGCTTTGCACTCTTGGTCAGATAATATTTCTAGGTTAAACTCTGCTCGATATTCGATGTTGTTTTCAAATCCTTCCAACAACATAGCATCCTCCAAATCCGATTCATCACTAGAGTCCAATAAAATTAAATTGTCCATCCTATATAGCGATACCCAATAAAGTCATATAAAGCACTTTCAAATCAAACAACAATACAAAAACCAAAAATCAAATAAGTGACCAAAAATCTGTCAGTTTTCGGTTATCGTATCGTATGTCGGCTCCGAACCGATGAACCGAAAGTCCGAAAACTGTTTTTTTATCTGTCAAAATAGCGGTTATGGTTACGTATCCGTTAACCGTTCCGTTGAATTTTTTTAAAGCAACGAAAACTCCCTATGTATAAACAAAAATACGAAAAAATAATTATTAGATTTTAAACAAGCATAATTCAAAGTATATTCTATTATCTTGAAAATGCCTTTAAAATGGTAAACGCGTGGATACGGTGGATAACCTTGAAGGGATTATTTGCTGCAAATAGTCACAGAGTCAGAGATACTTGCCAGATTGCAAATTATTTTGGAATTATTTTCAGTAGTAAAAAAAATTAAAAGAGGTGTATTCAAGTTTCTTCTTTTTTTTTTGAATTTTTTAAATGCTGTAGTTTAGTTAAAAGTTTTATAACATTCCATTAAAATTGTAGAATCAGCAACATTAATAGTTACCTTGTTTAATTCTGCTTATACATATTGCATTTATTTTCCTGCTACCTTAAGATTTTTATATCCTTGATATAAGAAGATATCTTAACAGTTATTTTCCACACCACAAAGCATAATATTATATGTGGTATTAACGCAGAAAAAATATTATAAAAAATATCTTAATTTTATCCATAATCAAGGATTTTGTCAATCCAATAGGCTCAAAATTCTACCTTCACCATATTGTCAAGATTTTATTCTGGCATTACAGGAAACAAGAAAATACAGTAAATTAAGAAAAGAATAATCATAAATATACCAATATCAATATACCAAGTACAGGATATTAACTGCTGCAATGTATTCTACGACATAAACCACCATCTCCCTTCTAAAGAGTAAAAGATAAAACATAAAGCTTATTTTAGTCCTGTCAGCATTCTTCGATAAAATATATGCCTACAATGGCTATTAATCCACTAACTTGATATTTTTAAGAAATTATGATATAAACATTATTATCTTAAACTAGGTAAAATGTTACCTCTATCGCATTGACCCTATATTGTGCTATAAGACTCATCTTCTTCTTCATGTTCCATTTGCTAAGTATTTTCTGTGATACCAGACTTTACAATAGTCTGCTACTTCTGTGTCGTCCATTATCAACTTTATATCTTTGATTTTTCCCTGTTTTAATGTACATTTACAAAAAAAAATGATCTAAAATAAAAAGAAAAATATCAATAAATAATATATTAGAGAAACCAGAGAGTTTAGGAGATAAAATATAAGTTAACGAAATGCTTACCTATTTTTTGTAGGTCCATCGCTTCACAACTGCCTCCCATCTTCAAATTCTTGCAAGAAGGAAGATCCAACATAGTTTTAACCTGAAATATTAAATAAACATTAGTTTTTTTAAGAGTTTATTAATATACTCATATAAAATCTTGAGAAAAGGTAACAATAAGAGGTTAAAAAATAATATAAAGTAATAATTGTTGTTCTCACCGTAGCGAGTAGCTATTTGAAAAACCAAAACAATTTGGCAGCTGCTACTAATATCTTAAAATTTTATCTTCTAATCCTATCCATATATTTATTTCTTTTTTCCGTTTTCCAAGATTTTCTTGACTTTATGGTGAAGGAATATACAGGGTGTTTCAAAACAAATGCGAAAAACTTTAGGGGGTCATTCCTTGTTCAAAATAAAGGGTAGTTTGCTTTATAAACGTTGGGTCAAAAGTCAACCATTAGGGAGAGATCGCGGTACAAAGATGGCGGAAAATTAATGTTTTTATTTTTTATCTTGAAAACGAAAAGATAACTAATGAAATTTTATGGAAGCATTACTGTTATGAAAACACACTTTCAGGTAATTTTTTTACTTTTTTAAAATGAGTGGAAGGAGTTGAAATAAACTACCCCTATCATTCTTGTTAACGAAATTTAAAGAAAAATCTTATCATTAATCTTATCAACACATGCAAATGCTTTAATTTGGATAGTTTAGTTTGTTTAGAAACTTTTTTACCTCTTGGGTTTTTTTGATAAAACTCACCGATTGGAAATTAAAATATAAAATATTAAGCATTACATGTCAGGACAAAAAACATTTTTAGATTAAGAATCTAGTGAAAATAACGATAATAATAATCATCTAGATAATAACGTATTGCAGTAGAGTAATGTCAAATAAAATAATATTAGGAACATCCTAAAAAAGTAACAGCGGCCGACTAGATTTTTTCCTAAAAAAATTACAGCAGCCCACTAGATTCTTTATCAGAAAATGTTTTTGTCCTGACATGTAATGCTTTACATTTTATTTTTTAATTTCAAATCGGTGAGTTTTATCAAAAAATACAAAGATAAAAAAACTTTTTAAACAAACTAAACTATCAAATTAATTTTTTGCATGTGTTTGATAAGATTTTCTTTAAATTTCGTTCACAAGAATGATAGGGGTAGTTTATTTCAATTAACTTGGCTCTATAATTTATAACAAAATAGTTATTCTTGCCATAAGAAGCTGTGTATTTCTAGTATCCCAATCATCACAAGCGCCCCTAACGGCGATTTTCGAACTTCATTTAGATCTCAAAAACTGGGCCCATAATTTTTGCGTTCGATTCGCCTCCTCCTTTTAGACTCCATACTTTTGACCCAACGTTTATGAAGCAAACTACCCTTTATTTTGAACAAGGAATCACCCCCTGAAGTTTTTCGCATTTGTTTTGAAACACCCTGTATAATTTGATTCAGATTTTCGATAAATATTCCCTGGAAGTTTGATACAAAAAAGAAAAAAAAGTATTAGTATTGATATAATGACTATAAAAATACAAATATAATTATAAACTAGAATTTTGTCTTATAATAATAAATATTATGGTTTACCAAAATAATTCACAAATTTGCCACATATTTTTACGCTTTTTTTTCATAAAATTTCTTACTTAGACATCTACTAGGTATATTTTATTTGTACACTTCAGTTTCTATGCAGATGATTTTATCTAAAAAATAAAAAAAACAGATTTCAAAATCTAGAAAATTATAAAGCTGTAAGAAAATACTTTCTTACCTGTAGTCATTAACAGATTGTTCAACAAACACTATGGTGTAGCCTCCGTCACATATTTAGATAATCTCTTTGTAGTTGGGCCCATTGTTGTCTATTGTTGGCTATGCGAGCTCAAGTTATCCCCGCTAATTTCCTAATATCATGGTCTTCTAGGTCTCTTAATTCCTTGTGGGCATCATGCTGTAATTTTTCTGGCCCATCTGTTGTCCGTCCTTCTTGCCAGGTATCCTGCCTATTGCCACTTGAGGGATTTGACTTTTGAGGGTCTTTTGTCGTATCCACTCTATTCTTTTATGGTCTCTCTTGGTTATTCCCAGCATATTTCGTTCCATTGAGCGTTGTGCGTCCTGCAGTTTCCTTATAATGTCCGTTTTAATTGTCCAGGTTTCGCCTGCCTAGGTCATGACTGGTAGTACACATTGGTCGAATGTTTTCTTCTTTAGATAAAGTGGCATTCTGGATTTGAATATGATTAAGTTTCTTCCACAACTACTCCATGCTAACTTAATTCTTCTGTTGCTTTCTGATGGTAGAGATCCCGAGCTCTGTATTGTAGAAGATATATTAATTTTGAGACCTACACTACAGTTGGCTGTATTTAGTTCGTTAATTCGGGCTTGTAGTTCTTCAGGACTATTGGCAATTAGGACTATGTCATCAGCAAATCTGAGATTGTTAAGATATTTCCCATCTATTTTCAATCCTTTATTGGTCCAGTCCAGTTGACGGAAGATTTCTTCTAGTGTTGCTGTAAACAACTTTGGGGATATCGCGTCTCCCTGTCTTACCTGTAGTATGTATCACTATATATTTTTTACATTGAATTTTTTTTTTTCACACTCAAAATCTGTCTGATATCTTCACAGCACTTAACACTACCCTGCCAAAAATTCCACATATAGCGCCCTGAAAAAAAGGATATGCAACAACCAATCCACAATACCTACAGTGCTGCTCATACACAAACGTTAGTCCCTGAAGAGCTTGGAGCTGAAAAAATTGAAACACTGAACATGAACCAATATGAACCTGTAATACATGCAGACGACCTTAACGATATCTACTGAAAATGACCCTGCGGTGGTTCCTTGGAGACTCATACAAAGACTGATAGTACTAGAGCATCTGGAACTACTGCTGTAAAAACATAGAAGCAACAAAAGAGTATCATATATGTACATAGAAATTTTGTAGACTTCAATTTGGCTTCGACATGACCCTCAAACCTGTTGCATACAGCTTCAAACAAAGTAGATGTTCAATCAACGTAAATCCATAAGATACAAGAAGAACCATACAATAATCATCTGAAGGCGTTGAATCAAGTAGGCTGCAGTAGTTCCTAGGAAGACTCGTACTTGTGGATCATTATATTCTCATTCCTACATCAAACGTAGTAGAACTTCAACCCATGTGAACCTATGAAACACAAGAACCACACAAACATATTCTGCAGGCATCGACTCAAACTGGCTGCAGTGGTTCCCTCTAAAGCTCATACCAATACCTGTAAAAAATAATAACAAAAAAAAAAGACAACCATGTACATAGAGATTATGTAGACCTCAATTTGGCTCCGACATGACTCTGACCTGTTGTATACAGCTTCAAACAAAGTATATCTTCAACCAGGCAAACCTATAAGACACAAGAACCCTACAAAAATCATCTGAAGATGTCGACTCAAACGGAAGCTCATAGAGGCTATCAGTCTTTGTAGAGCGCCAAGACCTACTCTTGTAAGAAAATAAACCTGACTTAGATATGACCCTGTTAAGTTTTGAACCTCAAAAATTTAAACTTGAACTAATGATGACCTCAAAAAGTCCTAAAAATTTCTACTGCACTACGAAAAAACTCGATTCCTTTTTTCTAGGCCCTAGAATCATACCCGAACTTGAATTGAAAATACAAAAAATAAGTTTAAAACATATTTAGACTATTTTTATTGAAAATTTAATTATTGAATGCTTATATATTGGCATGCGTTTACTCTAAAGTAGTAATAAGTAAAAGAAAGTGAGTTAAAAAATTAGGAAGTTATAGAGAGTTACCTACACCTACACGTTTAATTTAAGAAAATAAAAATACCTGTTAGACATTTTCTAGATTTCAATTTGACTAAGATAATATGAAGAATGATATTAATTATAGTTAATAAAAGTTTTTTTTTTGAAATAATAGTTTAAATCAGAGAGAATCTAATCCCAAATAACGTTAAAAAGAAAACACTAAAACAATAAAAGACTTGGAATCCTCATTATCTCAGCACCCTCGATTCAACATTACAGAGACTAGAATAGGATGATTATTCTATTAAATTTAGTTTAAAATTACAGAAAATACTAATACTAATAGTGACCAGAAAGCCATAAAAACCTCTACTACACAACTTAAAAAACTTGATTCTTGGGGCCTAGAATTATATCTGAACTTGAATTGAAAATATAAAAATAAATTTAGAAAATTTAGACTATTTGTATGAAACATTTAGTTATCGAAATGCTAGATATTGACATGCGTTTACTCTAAAATAGTAATAATTAAATAAAAGTGAGTTAAAAAAATTAAAAAGTTAAAGAAAATTACCTACACCTACATGTTTAATTTAAGAAAATAAAAATTACTCTTAGAGATTTTCTATATTTTAATTTAACTTAGATAATATGAAGCATCATCAAATACATTCTTAAGCAAAACCGACAGACATAACAACCCAATAAAAAGACCGATAGACATAACAACCCAATGGACCTCTGCTGCTTTCGAGAGGAAAGCATGTTCTTTGCTTCTGTGAGGAGCCTCCACAGAGGACGTTAGCCCCTGCGGATCTCAACCCAACGTGCTTCTGTGAGGACGCTCATACAGGGGACTTTAGCTCCTGTAGAGGTCAACTCAACACTGCTTCGCTTCTGTGAGGGGCCCCACAGGTGACTTTAGCTCCTGCAGGACCGCGCTCACGCCATCTCCAGGGAAATAAACGAACAACCAAATAAACCAGAAAAAATAACCAAGAAAATGTACATTTAAAAAAACTTACGTTTTTTTGCAGAGCATTCCCCACGATGTGCATCCCTTGTACAAAAATATACGCTCACTAACCTGAAACAACAGAAACAATACGTTAGTTGAAAGTAATAAAAAAAGAAATAAATCTTATAACATACCTGATTTTATCTCGTTCAATGCTCTCCATCCTACTGGCCTTTTCCAGAAAATCTTCGTTCCAGACCTGCACCAATCGTCGTGCCTTCTCAGAAACAGCCTTAAGGACAAGAGTACCTTAAGGCAACAGTTAGTGAAGAAGGTACTACGACTGAGACCTTGCACATCGGACATCTCAAGGCCACAAAAATGATAGATTTACTACTATAGGTAACAAGGAAGATTTAAGGTGTCTTTAACGAGATAAATCTGTATAGAGAACTCTATAGAGATTGAATTATAATAAATGAGGAAAATATGAGTTAATGTTATTTTCAACGAGAATTTACTTTTCTCGAAAATACAATTAATGATGTGCAAAATGCATTATTTTAAAATTATCAAATTTAAGTTTTATTATATTAATCATGAACAAAATTAAAAATATTTTGAATGGTTTTAGTACAAAAGGTACAAGTTTATTAAAAAACATGATACCTCACGCCTTTTTTTAAATTTAAATGCAATTAGAGAATAATTAAAAAAAAAGTAAAATGATGATAGAAAAAATTTGATTTAATCCTATGACAATGCCCTACAGAAAACTATTACAGAGACTGGAATAGAGTGATTATTGTTTGAAATTTAGATTAAAATTACAGAAAATAAAAATTATGTCCTCTAGAATTTTTTAAAATGAACCTAATCCCAAATAACGCTAAAAAGAGAACACTAAAACAATGGAAGACTTGGAATCTCCATTGCCTTAGCACTCTCGATTCAACATTACAGAGACTAGAATAGAGTGATTAAATTTAGTTTAAAATTACAGAAAATAAAAATGATATCCTTGAGGATTTTTGGAAAGAAAAAATCTAATCCCAAATAACACTAAACAGAAAACACCAAAGTAAGAAAGACTGTGAACCTCAATTACCTTAGCACTCCCCATTCAACACTACCGAGACTAGTTAAAAAAATATAAAAAAGAATAATTTCTGTTATAAAAATACTTGAAAAAAGAAAATGGTTAATTGAAGATCCGATTTCTGGCACACATTTCATAAACTTTGAGCAAAAACAAATGTTTTTCAATAATAAATTAAACATAACAGAGTAAAAGCCAAATTGGGTTTAAATTATTTTGAGAAATAGACACCTCGAAAAAAATTAAAGATATTATTTCTTGTGATTTTTACAAACGACAAGAAATACAAAGGATTATAATATGATTCGAATCAAATGAACGCAAATAAAAAGTGTGGCCTTAAAATGCTGTGAAAAACCTTAGAACAGCCCCAGAACCACGAACCGACGCGACCGTTATAATTATGCTTTAGAAATGGTTCTTCTACATTTCCTCTTCATCTGCATACTGAAACAATGATAAAAATAAAATCAAGTAAAGATGCCCAAGTCCAGAAAGTCCAAACAAATTCAACTCACCTCCATTCCACATCCTTTCACCGGCGATTCCTGCCACACGGCGGAAAAAGCAGCGTCGTCACACCGCGGGGGCAGAAGGACGCCCCTGGTTCCTCAGGAACTACGGACGGTCCCTGGGGAATCCCATTTAACGCGTCATCAGGATCGACAGAACCTGGAATTACTTTTTAGCAGCAGGACATCAAAAAACACAGACCGACTAAATTCACAAATAACACACGCTGCGTACGAAAACGATCATAGTTCTGAAAAGATAGAAATATTTTTGAATTAGATTTATGAAAAAGAAATGGACAGATGTGTGTTCGGACTTACCTCACTAACACTGACACTAGGCTGAATATGCTGGACTACGGCCCATCCCACCATTCTGATTAGACGTCAAGAAGTATGTCCCTCCCCCTCAGTGTTGGCTATCCATCCAGGGTAAATTTTATATTTTGAAAGAGCTCTATCGCTTTGACATGAGATTATTAGGAAAATTAGTTTAGATAAGATAGAGAGTTGTGCAAAATAGTTTAGATACAGCGATAGAGCAGAGAAACATTTAATGGGGCAGAGCAAAATTTAAAAAGAAAATGGTCCCTTATTCCAATCTCTTACAACAGTGAAAGAAAACCCTAAAATAACGCCAGACTGGAACCGGCACTATTTTAGAATTATCAATTCATTCATCTCAAAGACCAGTAAATTTAATAAAAATTATTATAAGTTTGATTTGAAATTATATAAAAATATAGAGAATAAAACAGTTTAAATCAGAGTGAATTTACTTAATTTATACGTGAATGGGAATACTAAAACAAGAAGGCTGTTACTCTTCGATCGTAATAGTACCATCCATTCACAAGAGACCATGTAAAAAAGATTATTTTAAACAAAAATTATGTTTTTTATTTTAGTTTTTAAGAGAGAGAATCTATTATAATCCCATTAAGGCCAGAAAGAAGACCTAAAACAAGAGAGGTTGTGAACCTCCATTGCCGTAGCACCCTCGATTCAACATCACAGAGACTAGAATAGCATCATTTTAAATTTTTAGAAAGAATATAGTCTCAAATAACACTAAACAGGAAACGTTAAAATAAGAAAGGCTGTGAACTCAATTTTTATGAGAGAGAATCTAATCCCAAATAACGCTAAAAAGAAAGCACTAAAACACTGAAAGACTTGGAATCTCCAGTGCCTTAGCACTCTCGATTCAACATTACAGAGACTAGAATAGGGTGATTTAATTTAGTTTAACATTACAGAAAGTAAAAATTATATTCTTCAGAATTTTTAGTGCCAACCTAATCCCAAGCAACGCTAAAAAGAAAACACTAGAACAATGAAAGACTTGGAATCTCCATTGCCTTAGCACTCTCGATTCAACGTTAGAGACCAGACTAGCACTAAACAGTAAAATAAGAAAAGATGTGTACCTCCATTACCTTAGCACTCCCCATTCAGCACTACCGAGACTTGATAAAAATAAAAAACATAAATTTTTGTTACAATAATACTTAGCAAAATGAGTGGTTTATTGAAGATCCGATTTCCTGGCACATATGCCGTTAAAGTTTTAGAAAAAATAGGTTTTAACCGGTCATAACTCCAAGAAATAGAACCTTCGTAAACCGTTTAAATGGACAGACCAAAACACCGGAGAGACCCAAAGGCACGGCGGGCGTTGTTCCAGTCAATTCGAACCTTTACGGAATCTTGGCCAAGCCTCGACCCTCCGATACCAGCTTGATCCTCCACTCCTGAGGACATTTGTTCCTTGGAACCCTGGCCAGACCAAAAATCACCGGGCTACAGGGCGACCCAGCTCAAAAAGAATCGGATTAAGAATTTGACGGTGTCGTCGAGAAAAACCATTCGACAACGGTTTGATATTTTTCGAGTAACGAGGCAACCCGGAAAACAAGTTTATATGCCTGCGTTTTTCAGTTTCAAGAGGAGAAGTAAAAATATAAAGTCTTTTACTAGTAAAAGCTTTATATTGGTGGTTAATTAGCAAGGCGACATCGGAGGCTGAGAATAACCACATAGTTTTATGACGTTCCGATCGGACAATTTAACGTAACGTCTTCTGCCACATTCCCCCCACTCAAGGACCAGCGTTTACCTGCCCTTTCCGGTCCAAGAGTGCCAGATGATCCCAACCCACTGCACCCCTTTACGAGCCTCCTAGTCCTCTAATTGAGCTGAGCCCCACTCCCCAGACACCCTTTACGTTTAGGACAACAACCCGGCCCCATGGGATAGCCTGCATAGCATGTTATAAGCTTACGCCCGGTAATGGAGCGGTCGAATAACATACCCACTGGCAGACTACAACGCAACGAGCACCTGGGAACCCCGGCCTGTTACCGGGGCTGTAATAATATGCGAACGAATCCAGGGCGAAACAGTCCCAGGCCTCCGAGACTGGCCCCTCGCGACAGTCCCCACAGCCCACAGATTGCATCGCAACCACCCCGCAACGCTGCTTTTTTGTGTCTATCGATTTAAAAAAAAATACGAGCACTAAAAAGTACTCGTATTCATTATATTAAAATACCAGCACTAAAAAGTACTGGCATTTATTAGATACTTCATGTGAAAGATTCTGTTAAAGTGACATTTATTTAATTTAATTATTCTTTCAAATATAGAGATGAAAATCTCTGTTTTCATGGATAAAAGTCTATAAACATTTCTTATAGAGTTTTATTTGCGTTAGAGAAAAAGAGTGACACTTGTGATATTGAACCCAGACTATGTAAAACGACGGATTAATCTAACACGAACTCAGCGGTCATGTCTTTAGATCCTGATAGTAGAGACATTAAACCGCACGCTTACTAGCTGGGAGCGTTGATGGATTTTCACGTGATAGCATTCCATGAGCCGTCTGCATGGGTAAAGTAAGTGTAGTTTGGTAGTTACAATAATTGTGTGTCCCCATTCGATTGCGATCTGAAAAAAGAAAAAAGAAAAAAACATGAAGACCCCAAACAACCCTCTGGCTTTTAATAATCTATAATCTTGAATAATAATGAACGACTGGAGTTATTGAAAGCTAAATTAAAAATATATGTAAAACTAAAAATGTAAAATAAATATACAGGGTATGTCAGTATTATCGCTTCAATAAAACACCTCAGTTATACAGGGCGTTAAAGAGTGTAGGTCTTATTAACTTTTAACTACTCTATGTGACAGAGAAAAAATGTTTATAGAGAAAAAAGTTTCCAAATTGATTGATATATACATTAGAAAAATATTAATTTACAAATTGGTTGTAGAAAAAAAAATATAGTAAATTATTATAAGTTAAGTAGCTGCGTGAACCCGCTGTATACTGTATACAACCAAATAATTATTCTCAATTTAGAACAATGTGATTTGACTATAAAAAATTAACTTTTCATAGTGTGAGCTGTTTTTGAAAAAATTGGTGAATAATATTGTAATTTTGGTTGAGACCCTATACACCCATGAGTTCCAAAAAAAAATTTAACCAAGAAATTAAAAAAATTATTTAAATTAAATATAGATCCATATAATTAAGTCAAAAAAAGAATGAATTATAAAAAAAATAAAATTACAATAAAGTAGCACTATTTAAAAAAAAATCTTATGAAATTATGTCATTGAAATCAGCTAATATTTTTCTTAAAAATGTATATACAAATATTATAAAAAACAATAAATATACACATATTTCTGTAGAGATTTATAGTGAATACGAAAAATTAATAAAACACCAGTAAAATATTTCAAAATCTTTTTGTGATCTGTTTTTGAAAAAGGGAGTGAATAATATCTATTGTGATTTTGGTTCACCCTATAAATGCTAATAAAAATTGTTACCAAGAAATTTAAATAACTATTTAATAAAAAATTATTTAAAAAATATAATATGTAGATGTCATTAAGAAATAGTATAATAAAAATAAAATTACAATAAAGTAGCCTGGAAAGTAGCATTATTTTAGGAAAATCTAATGAAATTACATCATTGAAAACAGCTAATAGTTTTTCTTGAATATTTCTATACAAAATGTCCAAAAAAGAAAACAAACATATATAAAGTATATTTCTGTAGAAATTAGTAATGGACGAAGAAATTGTAAAATATCATTAAATATTTGAAAATCTTAGTGTGTCTGTTTTTGAAAGAGTGGCTGAATAATATTGTAATTTTGGTTCACCCTATATATCTATAGGTACTAAAAAAATTGTTACCAAGAAATTTCAATAGCTATTTAATAAAAAAAGTATTTAAAAAATAAATATAGATAGATAAAACAGATAAAAGTCATAGAGAATATATTTCACAAACTTAAAAAACAAGGAGCCAGTATTTTAATTTTTAGGGTTTAGATCAGTTTCAAGAAAAAAATCAGCTTATTATCAATATAAATTTCACTGGTTATTCTTCATTAAATATTTCACTAATTAAAGCAGCTACATGCAGATGCAATTCTGTGTTTTACAGCTTTCTAAACTCTATTCAGATTATTTTATAAAAGATGTAATACATAAAGTATATAATATACCCTATTATATAATATCTTTAAGAAAAACCATATCAAATGCACTACTATTAGAAATATTCTTCAGAAAATTGAGTGATATTATTATAGTACATTCAATTATACTAAGGCTTTTATTTCTAAAATACTATATACATCTAGGTAAGTCTAAAAATTATGTATTTTAATACTGTATATAAAATATCCTGTCAACCATAAAAACATTAAATTTAGAAAACTGTCACTCCACAACAAATTACATCTTTTTATAGCAAGCAGAAATTATAAAAAAGGCAAAACTTTTATACACTGCCTGATAAAATTTCAACCAATCGGAAAAGAAATGACCTTACATTCAGCCAATAGAATTGCTTTCAAGCCAGCCGCTTTAAGAGGGTCCGATTTGTCGAAAAATATCAGGAAATTCATAGGAAAATGGTCGTACTTACCATCTCTCGAGTCCAGCTGGGCCCTACCCGCGATTGTACCGAGCAAAATGAGGCGCACATTCACTCCCGGAGTGCAGCACGTCTGGATACAGCGCCCGAGCTCAGGTACGACCTGAGCTATATGACGTGTCCAGACCCATACCGATCCTTGGTCCATTCCATCCAAAGGCAGCCTGGTTTCTTTCCGACTTGAAGATCTGTTGTTGTGTTGGTGTGTTGTTCGTCATCTCCTTCTTCACTGGCAGCGTGGTCCTTGGATGTCCGTAACCCTGGATAATTTCTGGCATAATCTGAAACAAGACAAAATATCTTTTAGTTACATAGTTCATATGTTCCCGATCCACTCACACTTTTTTGAGCCACTCTGTACATATTTAAACGAAATTCACAAGTTTTTTATTCTAGGAGCTACAAACAGGTGTCCGACGTATTATTGCCGGACCCTGTACAAGACAAGAACATCTAGAAACATAAAAACCTAAGCAAAAAGTCTCTAAGAAATAAATAAAATTAATGTATTAGCACAGAAAATTACTAGCTTCAGAAAAACTATCAATAATAATCCTACCTACAATATTAAGTACTAATTATTACCTTATATTAAGTTTCTAAATGTTTTTTAGTATAAATACAGGCAGATGTAATTTTTCTGTGTTTTACAAGAAAAACCATATCAGGTGCACTACTATAAATATTATTCAGAAAATTGATTGACTATAATTATTTATTCACTTATATAGGGTTTTTATTTCTAAAATACTATATTCATCAAACTATTTAAGTCTGAAAATGATTTATTTTTACAGTACAACAATAAAAAAGAGCTATTTATAGCAACAGAAAGTATAAAAAAGCAAACAGAAAGTTTAACAAAAAAAAAGGCGGCTTTGACTTTTTTTGTTGATCTTGGGCTTCTACCGGCCGCCTTTAGATGGTCGGATTTTTTCGAAAAATATCGGGAAATTCGTAGGAAAATGGTCGAACTTACCTTCTCTAAGAGTCCAGCTATGCACTACACATGATTTCCGAGCACAATATACAAGAAAAAGGCACTTTTCCTTAAAAATTCTGGAGACGCAACCGACATAGATGTTACATCGCCAACGGTCCGACCAAAAATGGCGAAAATTGACCGAAACGACCAATAACATTGAGTTTTGGCGCTCGGTTGCCGATATTTTACGCTAGAGGGAGCACCATCTCGCGCTGTTCTTTTGTTTTATCGATGAAAAATTATGTAATTTTATGACCTAAATTCAAATTTAAATGAAAATTTAGCAACATAACGGTACATTGGGGACAAAACTACTACCAGGGAAATGTAGCTACGGGTTTTCCGAATAAAATGACACCAAACAATAAACGAATAAAGCAAAATTCACATAGATATCGCATTTTCTTTACCCCAATGTCCCTAATTGTTAATATCATATAAAATAGATTTTTGCCTTAAAAAAAGATTTTGAAGCTTTAAAATAGTTAAGAAATTATAGATTCTCATTAAATATAGTTAATTAAGCAGTTTCAGACCTATTAAACCCATATAAATTAAAATAAAATTCAAAAAAAGGTGGCGATTCGGTAGCCTTCAGAATCTTCAATAAATATAACTTTGTTGTTCGATATTTTCCGAAATAATGTAATATTTAGTTAAATATAGACTTATTACATCCATAAATTATAAAACAAGGCAGTAATACCCCTATTTATAACTTCTACAAGACATTTTCTTAGTCAATGTAATGGCCAAGATTTATTGCTTTTATTTCACCAATTTTGCTATAAAATCAATAAAAAGCCTCATTTAACATGATTCTGTGCTGTACAAATGATGTATTTATGGTTTTTTATCAATTTCCAAGCCCCAAAATAAGAATATATAACTTCTAAAAGATATTTACTTTTATTTCACAATTTTGTCCTGAAATCAATAAAAATACACATTTAACAAGATTCTGTGCCCTACTAATTATGTTTTTGTAGATTTTTAACAATTTCCAACCCCCAAAACAACACAAGAGTAAACAAGAATTTGTTGCCTCTTCGATACAAAATTTGTTCGATGAAAGCTTCGAGCACTAGGTCTAAACAGGATGTTTTCTACATATAGTCTAAAAAAAATACAGGGTATGATTGCTCATGTATTTTTAAGAAAAAAGTTCATATAAACATAGGTAAAGTGATCTCCCTGTCTGATCTTCAGGGTATTAAAAATCTAAAAAAAAATATCTTTATGTTTTATCTTTTACTCTTTAGAAAGGAAATGGTGGTTTATGTCGTAGAATACAATGCAGCATTTAATATCCTGTAGTTGATTTACTATAATTTCTTGTTTCCTGTAAGTAATGCCAAAATAAAATCTTGACAATATGGTGAAGGTTGAGTTTTGAACTTATTGGATTGATATTAAGATATTTTTTATATTTTTTTATGTCTTAATATATAAACAAAGATACTACATATGTATTATGCTTTGTGGTGTGGAAAATGACTGTTAAGATATCTTAATTATATAATAAATTATATATTTTTTATATTTTAGATATGCTAAGATAATTACATAAATTAGGTGTAAGGATATAAAAATCTTAAGGTAGCAGAAAATTAATGCAATATGTATAAGCAGAATTAAACAAGGTACAATTTTAATGAAACGTTATAAAACTTAGTATGGAAATGGATATACAGCATTTAAAAATTCCAAAAAAAAAGAAGAAACCTGGACACACCTCTTTTAATTTTCCGAATTTATAATAAAGCACTTTTTAAACGTAGTGTCTAGAGTTTTATTTCTGTTTAATTAAAATAATAACTATAATATTGTAAATAATATATATTGATAGCACTGAAAAAAACATAATTTCTTTTCTACTGGAAATAATTCCAAAATAACTTGCAATCTGGCAACATCGACGATATGCGCAATATCTGTGACTATTTGCAACAAATAATCCCACTTCTTTAAAAAAATTGACGGGTTCTAGTCATCCGCTGATCGGAACAATAAAATAAATCGTCCGTTATTTTATCAGATTTGTTATTATGTTTCAGAATCAATTTAATTAAATAATTACTTGCTAGTTGGAAATTTAGATTAAAAGAATAATAATGGTTTGATCTAGATTAATACCATGATTTAATTTTTATTATATGGAAAATATTAGTAAGTCATCGGTTTAGTGGACGGCTAGACACCGCCAAAAATAAAAGCGTTGACAGCTGGCAGGGACGTGATTTGTTATTAAAATTTTCAAAGATAAAAAATCTAATTTAATTTTAAATTATTCCGATATAAACGAAATGGGTTTGCACGATTATGTGAATTTTATCGTTTTCGATAATCCAATCTCCAAGTCCGTCACGTCAATTCTCATGGTTTGTTTTATTCTAGTTCATTTAAATGAGAAAAATGTTTTGATTTGTGTTTTAGAGCAACAAAAAGAGTATTACCGCCCCGCCGAACGTTACAGTGATCACAGAGAAGACCCCTTTATGGAAAATGGCCAGCGAAACGGGACCCTTCGTTAAAATAGGCGCTCTTATGGGAGCCGCAGCGGTTATCATAGGCGCTTACGGGGCGCATCGTGCATATCCCAAAGATTCGGCCGAGGAACATAAACTTATGTTCGAAACGGCCAACAGATACCATTTTTTTCATTCCCTCGCTTTACTAGCAGTCCCCTTATGTAGAAATCCAAAAATTGCAAGTATTCTAAGAATTAATAGAGTCAAAACGTAATATATAACTTATTGTAGGCTGGTTCACTGTTTATATCTGGTACAGTGTTGTTTTCTGGTACATTATACTATCGAGCTTTTACTGGTGACGATACAGTGGCTAAATTGACACCGTTTGGAGGAACAATACTGATCTTTGCCTGGCTATCCATGGTTGTCTAAGTTAAAGCTAATAACTCAAACTATTTTCAATTAATGTTTTAGGTGTTAATGGGGTCAAATGTTTACTTGAGTTGCATGCCCATAAATTGAATTGGTTAATTATGGTTATTTAGGTCATATATTCAATGTACAAATAGTAAATTATTTTGTGATTTTATTCGTTTAATATATTATTTAGTAAGACATGAATTATAATAAATAAATGTACTCCAAACGATAGAAAAGCTCCTTTATTTTATTTGCAAAATATAGCTACAACATACATACAGCATTTATTTCAATGATGTTGTCTCTTTCGATGGTAACTGTTATCTCTATTGTAATTGTGAGAGTTTGAATTATCTTGATATCTGTCTGATCGATGATAACTATTATCTCTATTGTAATTGTTGTGGGACTTTGAATTATCTTGATATCTGTTATTTCTTTCTCTGAATGAATTTCTGAATCTACTATACCAAGGACACACCACGGGCGGGTTTGGAATTTCCTCATCGAAGACTTCTTTATAATCTGGATCAAGCACAGAATATCGATCTGAAAACTCTTGTAAACATTCCTCTAGGAAATTCTCTTGCTCCACTGTTAATGCCATCGTATTTATGGTACAATATAACTTATAAAACCTTAATATATTATATATTGTTGTTGTTTTTTGAATAGAGAAACAGTGTTTTTTCTAAAAGTAAATTAATATCACAGATTAATATAACCTAGCTTTGTCAAATGTCAAATTCTTCTTTTATATTTTGTGGCCAGAACAATGTACTCATTTATAGCCACTCGTCTGACTGAGGACCGTAGTTCGATTCCACGTAAACTAAAGTAGGCACAGTCCAGATGAATCCTAGCAGCAAAGAGACGTTAACTGCACACAAAACTGTGTCACAAAATAAAAAAGATGAAGAATTTACTTCCAACCTAAGAAAATCGGCCCAGTTCCAAATTCCAAGATGAATTTTGTTAAAAATATATTTCAAATAATACCCCAACCGGCTTATAATGTAAATTTAGTAAATCTCTTTTATTCTTTCATTGTATTTATTGCTATTTATTTTAGCTGCAACAAGTGAGATATAAATGGGCCAACCACTGGATGGCTAGAGACGTTAAAAGAAGGAAAATTGTAACAGAGCTGGCCCCCACTAGACTGCGTATCAATTCAATGAGAAGAAACAACATCTTACCTCCAGAAATTAGGGAAATAGCCGACGCAGAAATAAAGGCTATGCCAAACAATTCATCCCCGCTTCAAATCCATAGTAGGTGCGTGATCACTTCGAGACCAAGAGGTGTAGTGTTCCGTTGGAGACTCAGTCGTATAGTTTTCAGACATCTAGCCGATTACAATAAGCTTTCCGGCGTACAAAGAGCCATGTGGTAGAAATATTTAATTACAATATATGATGTATTAGTGATATTAAAGTATGTGTTGTTTAATTTGATTTATTATTGATTTATACACTATTTAAACCATCTGATTCAATGATAAAATTGGTAGTTAAAGGAGGTAAATCTGGAGAGAATATTACTTGAAATGATCTGACATTATTACAGGTTCTTTGTATTGAAAGTCGTGTTACCACATTATTCGCCCATGCCAAGCCTAGGCATGGCTCTGAAATACCCGTAATTAAGTTATCTATAACCTTAAAATACTGAAGTTAAAAGAATATATTATATTAATTTAGTTTTAAAGCTTTACTTGGTTGGTTACTAAGAGAGCACAATTGTATTTCTTCTGAAGCTGCAGTAAATTTCTTGATATCTCCCTGAAGTCTTGACTTCTGGTTATATAATTAGGATTTTCATTTTCACTTCTGAACAAACCTGCTATAGAATCTATTACTATTATGCCGATGTTCTTAGTTTCCATGAGACGGGGCAGGGATACTTTTAGACACTTATTTAAGTGGATACTATCGGGTATATGTTGGATATAAACATTACTTTCGAAGTCTATGTTTAAATTATGTTTTTCTCTCCAGAGGACTGAGAGTTGACTTAATCTTTTAGCTGGAAAAACATCTTCTGTACAAATATACACAGCTCCTACAATAAAAATATATATTTTTTGTTTCTCCACAATATTTTGCTAGAATTACCTTTATCACAACTTAGCTTAGTTTGTAAGGCAACCTGTAAACAAAATTGGGTTTTGCCCACACCGCTGGGGCCATATAATTCCACAATACCGTTAATTGGAAGTCCGTTCCTTAAAACAGAGTCGATATTTTTACAGCCTGTTCTTAACCGATCCCAAGGCGGTAACTGGTCAACGGTACAAATTTTATTTTTGAGAACCTCATCGGCTGCTACCTTTTTGATTTTTTTAATGTCTTCGAGTGAAATACGCGTGCGGTTATGGATTTCTTTAGTGCTGGTGTCCAAAATTTGTGGATATGAATTGAGATTAGCTTAAAACACAATAGAGTAAACAAAAATAACATGTAATTTTTTATATATTATGCTTACATACCTTTCGATAAAGCGTTTAGTGTGTCTAAAGACAGTAAATTCGTAATTTTCTCCATGATTATTTAATTTTATTGCTATTAAATCGTTTTTTTCTACGCTGTTACAAAAATAACTTGATTTGAGCATTTGAGGTTACACAGAAAATGCCTAAAATGTGAAATAAAAATACACATAAAACAAAAAAAAAGGTTTAAACTGGCCCTTTAAAAAAGTAGGTACAATCTAAGGGTACAATCAATGAAAAAGTTCTGTATTTTGTGATGAGAAATGAGCATTTCTCCTAAGAAATGATTATATTTGAATCACATTTGAATTTCTTTCAACTGTCAAAATCCAAGCGCGCTCAAACTGTAAATATAAAAATATTAAATAGTCAGTGATCACACTGTATATATTAAAACACAGGTATGTGAAGAGAAAGAATCACCCTAGTAATATAAACCTGTGAAACAAATATTTTTTGTAAAAAGTAACAAAAAACATTCCCAAGTTTATACTCCTAGCATTTACGGGGTGAATTGCAAGCGTCGTCTCTCCGACTAGACGAATCTTAACAATCCCCCCCGTAAACGAAGGTACCTAGGAATGCGGAATTTCGTGGTAGAATTGACCGGCGCCTCGGCATCAAGACTAACCTTGACAGACATCGTACGACTGCAAACAATTCTCTAACAACAACTCAAGAGGGCTAAATTATGGGCTGGCCAGTTCCCATAACGTCGCATTCCTCAAGCGCCAGAAAGTTAGGATTAGAGTCTACATCGCACGCCGCGTCTGCGAATCCCAAATGATATTCTTTTGTTATTTATTTAAATAGTTATTTTATGTCGGGATTGAGCGGTGAGATATTAAGGCATGATTGATTCCGAAGATGTATTACTGGTTGCCTAAGTTTCACAAATTATTTTTCCAATTAATTTACTAAACAAAGGTAAATTATTGCTTCCATATATTGCAAATAGAAGGCAAGTTAGGTATAAGATGAGTTTTACATATTTCGTAACGTATTTTATATGAAATATATTATTTTATGGAAATTTTAGAAAATTTAAATGAACAGCCATTTCAGTTTTTCATAATTGACAGTTGGTCGCAGTTGGCGGGCAAATAAATACCGTCGAAAAACCAGAAAGAAAAGAAAAAGAAAAGGTATAAAACCGTTTTATTAAATATACCCATTATAATACAGCCTAATTTTAACTACATGTATTTCCTTTCCAGTGTTCAGCTTCAAATGATACTATACAAGTCTTTATACTTTACAGAAGTCCTAAAAAAGACCAATCGCCTGTTTCAAGATGAACTTAGAACCTGTGTTAGAACTATGTACTGCCAAACTTCAAGATATATGAGGAATAATTAATAGAGAACGATACAAATGTGGTTAAAAATTGACATTAAGTGCCTTATTTGTAAAATATCATAATGGCTTGTACGACCTGTGCAAAACAAAGGTTGTGTCTCTTAGTCTCTAGTTTCTGTAGTTCTATTGATGTATTTACTTACAGCATAATAGAAGGATGTGTTATACACCAATATTTGTTACCCACCTTGAATAATGAACAACCTGGGACTGCTGACATAAGTCAGTCAACAATTCAGAGTAATGTCCTCTTCGCAGACTTTCAGAGTTGAAAAAGATTCACTTGGTGAAGTTAAGGTTCCTTCCGATAAATACTATGGGGCCCAAACGGTACGATCCATCATGCATTTTGGCATCGGAGGCGAGTATGAAAGGATGCCAGTAAGAATCAACGATAAAAACTGCAGAAATGACCAAAATTATTGCATTCCAACAATTTTGATCATGTCTATTTGAACAAACATAATTTTAAGCATTCTATTTTTTAGTATGCTATTATATCAGCTATGGGGATTTTAAAAAAGGCCGCTGCAGAGGTGAATAGAGAGTTTGGACTTGATAATGCTGTGGCAGATGCAATCAGTAAAGCTTCTGACGAAGTTATATCTGGCAAGTTGTATTGTGGGCATTTTCCTTTGGTCATTTGGCAAACAGGCTCTGGCACTCAAACCAATATGAACGTAAATGAGGTAAAACATTGTTATTATTATTTTGTATAATGTTATTGATTACTTAAGTTATCTTTTTCTATAATTTTTTGTGTAGGTTATTAGTAATAGAGCTATAGAGATGATGGGTGGCGAATTAGGATCAAAAACTCCAGTTCATCCCAACGATCACGTGAACAAGAGTCAGAGTTCCAATGATACTTTCCCAACTGCGATGCACATAGCCGTAGCAATGGAGATAGCACACATTTTAATGCCCGGTAATATTTTGATTAAAAGAAAATATGTTAAAGTGGCAACGCTGTGCCGGTACAGCTTAATCACGTTACTAAAAGTTTGTTTGGTATGATCTATACTTATACTTAATTATTTTTTGTGACATTGTGGCAGTTTTAATTTTATTTGTTCTAATTTTTTAACATCCTCTATTCTTGCAGGGTTGACCGTTTTAGCGGAATCTTTAGAAAAAAAAACTAACGAATTCAAAAACATCATTAAAATTGGCAGGACCCATACTCAGGACGCTGTACCACTGACCTTGGGTCAAGAATTCAGCGCTTACGCAGCTCAAATTCGTTTTGGAATTGACAGGTAATGCGACGTCAAACCTTTGAGGGTGTATCCACATCATCCTAGAAAAAACGGAACGGCGTATCGGCGTAATGACCTTGAATCGTTTTCTAGAAATTCTATTGGCTGAAATTTTTGACAGTTGAATTTGACAAATGAATTTTTCAGCCACTAGAATTGCTGGAAATCGATACAAGGTGCGTTCCGCTTAAAGCATGTGCTAGGATGTATTTCAGGAAAATATATTAACTTCTGTAGCTGTGGCTAAAACTTCTGTAGCTTCTAAAACTGTGGCTCAAAAATTGTGAGTGGATTGGGATGATTTTTTTTAACGGAACACCCTGTATATTATTACATTTTTGGCTTTCTTTCAGATCATTTTACATAATCCAAAGATATGAGTAAATATATTTCGTTAGTTTCAGGAATATTAATATATAAATAAAAAATATGTATTTTTTCAGCCTTTCGTAAAAAAAATCATTTAAAATACAAGAACTGTCCCGAAATCAAAACTCTATTAGGTATTTACTTTAAATGGTCCGTACTTACTTTACTATAAATATGGTACTTGTAAATCATACAGGATGTTCAAAATTCTACGTCAAAACTTTCTAAAATATAAAATAATTTTTCTTCGTTTTTTTTAATGGAACGCCCTGTGTATTATTTTTTCAATAGAAGGACAATTAAATAATGAACATTTTTTGTATTTAGAGTATTTCAAAATTTTTAACGGTTTCGCAGATATTCGACGTTTTATTATTTCATGATATGGCATTTCCACAGTAAATTTTTATCAAAGCCACCCAATGACTTTTTTTCTCGTATTTTACCGTTGAAAGAGCTATATGAAATAATACTGCCTGTATCTGCGAAACCATTAAAAATTTTGAAATACTTTAAATAATAAGAATGTTCATTTTTTAACTCTTTCAGGTATTTGCAAAAAAATCGTCAATTTTTTACGTAAGGTATTTTTAAAATAAAATACCCTGTATATTATTCTTCATTTTAAAAATGAGAGCGATCTTCATTTCGAAGCCAATCCTGACGTCGTTTTTTTTTTCATATACGAATGAATTTTTAGGGTTAATTCTGGCTTGCCACGGTTATACATGCTGGCTATTGGTGGGACCGCAGTAGGTACCGGCATGAACACTAGGATCGGGTTTGCCGAAAAATGCGCTGCCAAGATTGCCGATTTTACTTGTCTGCCTTTCGTTACCGCGCCCAATAAGTTCGAAGCTTTAGCCGCTCATGACACGCTGGTTGAAGTTTCCGGGTCATTAAATGTCATAGCAGCGTCATTGATGAAAATAGCTAACGATATCAGGTATGAAACTTTATGAATATTTGTTTTATCATGACAGGACTAAAATATGTAAAATGCTTTTAATATGTCCTGTACCACATCCAAAGGAAAACTATTTCTATTAATTCCAAGTAGTATTTTCAATATCCTATATTATAATTAATGTTTGAAACCATAAATAATGCTACTCAGACTGGATTTCTCCAGTGGCGTAGGGAATTATAATCAGAGAAATACAGTTTCTACAGTAAACATTTTTTTTATATATTTTATATGTAAAAAAATGTGTAAAGTATTGTTATCAAATATGTAAAATAATTGTAAACTATAAAAAAAGCATGACCAGAATTTTTCGGTCATCGTAAAATCTATAGTATGTATAGTCGTTATATGAAACTTAAATTTACTTTGAAAAAGAAGACTAAGGAAGGAGCATAATGCTATCCATGTATTCATGCATGGTGGGCGGAAAAAGGAACCCTTGACAGTTCTGTTTGACAATTCATTTGACACATTTGAATTTGATTTGAAATTTTGTGGATTTGTCAGTCTTTACGCAGCTTATTTTATGTTATTTATTATTTATTCTGCTACTAATAGTTGTATAAAGGTAGTAACTCTAGATGGAAATTGTGGCAGAACTTAAATTAACAGTGACAATATCGCGATTTATCGAAAAAGACTCTAAAATAGTTGGTTGTGTAGCGTGCGGTAGATCTCGGCAAAAATCGAGTTAAATAATGGAACAACTTTTCGCTAGTAAGTGACTATATAATATACATACGTGTAGTAAACCGATCATTTATGAAATTCACTTAAATTAACTAACTATATATTTTTTCTTGCATTTTTGCTTTTATTTACTACATGTCAAAGATTAGATGTCAAAGAATTTAGATACGTCAATTTGACTTACCTGCTTCAGTAGCGTATCGGATGTTTGTGTTAATAAATACTTATTATAACTTATCTATTTTTATTAGAATTTTATATTTTTATAACAATTTTAATAACTACCAACATTTATTCACAACGTAAAATAAAAAAAAAATATTGAGTCTACCCCACGTCTACCTACATCATAGTTTTACATTTTTTAAATAAAATTAGAACGGCACTGATAGACCGGAATTTAAGTCGGCCATATTTGAGGCCCATCGCGGTGGACCTAAGATTTTTGATATGCTCCTTCCTTGGTCTTCTTATTCAAAGGTCTCGAGTGTTATTTTAACCCCACTTTTTCCATTTCCCATTACAGATTCCTAGCTTCGGGTCCGCGTTGCGGCCTAGGCGAACTCTCCCTCCCCGAAAACGAACCGGGAAGCTCCATCATGCCGGGCAAAGTGAACCCCACCCAGTGCGAGGCCGTTACCATGGTCGCCGCCCAGGTCATGGGCAACCACGTGGCCACGACCATAGGCGGCTCCAACGGCCACTTCGAGCTCAACGTGTTCAAGCCCATGATGGTGGCCAACGTGCTCAGATCCATCAGACTCATCGGCGACTCTTGCAAGAGTTTCGCCGTGCACTGTGTCGACGGCATCGTTGCCAACATCGATAATATTCAGAAGAGCGTGAATACGAGTCTGATGCTGGTCACCGCGCTGAGTCCGCACATAGGTTACGATAAGGCGGCTAAAGTGGCCAAGTTGGCTCACCAGGAGAAGAGTACTTTGAAGGAGGCCGCTGTTAAGTTGGGGTTTGTTACTGAGAAGGAGTTTTCTGAGTGGGTTAAGCCCGAAGATATGCTTGGACCCAAGTGATTTTGTGTAAAATCACTATTTTTTGTATTATTAATTCTATTTTATTGATATACAAGATGTTCCTTAATGACATGCTAATATTTAAGGACCTTTTCTACGAGAAAAACTTCATATAGTAAACGCCACGAATGTTTGGGAGTGATTCATCGCTTGATGAAGTTAGAATCGACGCGCGCGCTATTATTTCTACATTAAAAACGTACATTTTTACCGCAGACGTAGGTTTTTAAAGGCCCGGTCTAACCATATGCCTGCGCTCCTCCTACTTACATGATTGACAAAGACGATGCTATATCGCCTCTCTTTGATTGATTCGTTTTTGTGCGTCAGTCCATTGGTGTGCTTGCAGTGCGACCAATGGGGCATTCCAGTTTATATTTACATATAACCAAATATATGTTTTGACAAGACTTTGACAGTTAAAGCAACAAATTACAACAAATTATATATTGATTATTATATGCCTTGAAACACCACGGCACTGGAATTAAGTTTTATGTGACCTTGAACAGATTAGGGTGCAGCCACACTATCCTAAAAACGGCGTATCGGCGTAACGGCGTAACGACCTTGAATCGATTTCCAGTAATTCTATTGGCTGAAATTTTTGACAGATGAATTTGACAGATAAAATTTCTGACAGATGAATTTTTCAGCCAATAGAATTACTGGAAATCTGTTCAAGGTCGTTACGCCGTTACGCCGATACGCCGTTTTTAGGATAGTGTGGCTGCACCCTTAGTTCACATGGTAGCGACCGATGAATCACTCCCAAACATTCGTGGCGTTTACTTTATGAATGTATGTCCTAAACATCTTAATTTCTGAGATACAGGGCGGTAAATTTTTCTAAAAAACCCTTTTTTACATAATAACTTTGGTTTTATTACAGATATCTTTATAAAACTTGATACAACGTCTTCTATGCATCAAAATACCTTTTTTAGTGTTGAAAGAATTTTATTTCTTTCAACCAGTGCCGTCCATACGGGTTTTACATAAAAAAGTGGTACACCACTGACTTCTCTTAAAATAAAAATTATTTTCAACATCTCCATTCGTTTCTAAACATTTTTTATCTCTTGATTTTTTTCGTTGGACAGTTAAAGCAACAAATTACAACAAATTATATATTGATTATTATATGCCTTGAAACAGCACGGCACTGGAATTAAGTTTTATGTGACCTTGAACAGATTAGTTCACATGGTAGCGACCGATGAATCACTCCCAAACATTCGTGGCGTTTACTTTATGAATGTATGTCCTAAACATCTTAATTTCTGAGATACAGGGCGGTAAATTTTTCTAAAAAAACCTTTTTTACATAATAACTTTGGTTTTATTACAGATATCTTTATAAAACTTGATACAACGTCTTCTATGCATCAAAATACCTTTTTTAGTGTTCAAAGAATTTTATTTCTTTCAACCAGTGCCGTCCATACGGGTTTTACATAAAAAAGTGGTACACCACTGACTTCTCTTAAAATAAAAATTATTTTCAACATCTCCATTCGTTTCTAAACATTTTTTATCTCTTGATTTTTTTCGTTGGGCGCATAGTTTTTGCTTAAAAAATTAAATTCAGTTTATTTCAGGGTCAAATCGCTGAAAATATGACGCGGTGACTGTTGTGTGACAATTTTTTTTGTATATCAAAATAAGCATTTTGATGCATGGAAGACGTGTATCAAATATACCGTCAGAAATATTTTGAAAAAAAATTAGAAATTTTTACCTCCCTGTATCTAAAACGTTGAGATGTTTAGGGCATATATTCATATGAAGTTTTTTTTGTTAGAATTGGTCCAAGAATCGCCTCCTTAAATATTAGCACGTCATTAAGGAACACCCTGTATACTGTGTCTTATACAGGGTGTTTCAAAAAACATGTGCCATCTCTCGTGAGGATGTTCCTCACGTAAAAAATAGGATTTATTTTTTATATCAACATAGGCCCGATTCTCCTTTGGTTGGTAGCTACAGGGTGTTAAAGTTTATTTTTTTTTGGGATTTATTATAATTTTTCTAAGTGCTTCTAGCGATTCACTAAAAGCACTTGGAAGAAAATTATAATAAATCGAAAAAAAAAAATTAAGCCCCTGTAGCTACGATACAAAGCAGAGTCGGACCTATGTTGATATAAAAAATAAATCTTATTTTTATGAGAGGAATCTCACCACGAGAAATGGCACATGTTTTTTGAAACACCCTGTATATGAATGCACACTACAGGATAATATAAAATAATAGGACACCCTGTATATGTTTAGCTGTGATATATTTTATTTTATTAATAATAGTTAATTATTTGAGATATGTATTTTAAAGCGTATAAAAATTTCATAGTATTAATAATAATACTTTAACGAAAATAAAATTAATTGTTGCATTACTTATTTCTTTATACAGGATGAGTCTTAAGTAAGTGCAAATATTTTTAGAGATGGTATATTTTGATCTCAAGAACACGTCTATGTGGTTTCTTTCATGAAAAAAAAATGAAAATTTTGCATTTTTCGAAAAAAAAAATAATTTCAATTAAAAATCATAATACCGTATAATCGAAAAAAAAAAATGGCGTCAGCGATTGCTATGAACTGAAGATCGCTGTCATTTTATAGCCATCGCTGACGTCGCCTGTCGGAATGTCATCGATCGTCTTTTTCAAGCCAACTGGACGCCATATTTTTTCGATCATACGGTATTATACATACAATACAGTACTGTCATTCTATTCAGAGTGTCATTTTCTATCGAATAAAGTAAAAAAATACCGAGGGTGCCATTTAAAAATCAAAAGTTGTAGTCATTTCCGGTGAAACAGGAAGCGACCAAAAACAATTGAATACGTCAATCAATCCTAACTTATGTCATATACTAACATACCAAATCTCGTTTTTTTTTATCTGAAACAATAAAAAAGTTATAGGGGTGAGTCAACTTTGAGACGCACCCGGCATACTCAGGTCTACAGCCTCTTGAAGCTGTGAAAAAAAATGAGTATTTTCAGTTGACCTAGAACTATAAAATTTGCCAAACAATATCGTCTTTTACTACAAGTATAAAACTAAATCATGTTCATTATAATTGCACTTACTTAAGACTCACCCTGTATGAATCATTCGCATAATTTAATAATCACTGACGATTCTGCACTATCTCGTCCCTATTTTTTCTATTTTTCAACTTTCACTCATTCCAAACAAATCATTAAGATACGTATATACACACGCATCTCTCAGTGATAACCAATTGAACTTTTCGATAAATTACTTAATAGTAACAAAATAAAAAGTAGTGTCGCACACAAGAAAATGCGTCCTAAAGTTTACCATTGTCTGAGTATAGCAAGAAGATTCCTGCATTCAGACCAATCGTTGAAGGTAGGGGTTCTAGGAGTGCCCTTTGACAAGGGCCAAGCTAAGAAGGGTGTAGGGAATGGACCAGAGTTCATTAGGAAGAAGGGACTATTGGAAAGAATAGCAGAAATAGGTACATATAGTTTAATAAGGAAAGAAGTACTTTTTGACTCACCCTCATAGAGAGTATAGTCATCCCATTTTTTTTAAATAGAAACAGATATACAAGGTCAAGCAATAGTGCCTCGGGCATCTGTAGCTCCTATAATATAAAACTTTTGAATTTTGTTTAAGTGTAAACCTAAACTTCTCAAAAAAGTATTAGTGGACCGGGATGGCCTTTTTTAAACGGAACGCCCTGTATATTATTGCATTTTTGGCTTCCTTTCAGATCACTTTACATAATCCTAAGATATGAGTAAATATATTTCGATAATTTGGGAGATATTATTAAATAAATAAAAAATATATATTTTTCAGCCTTTCTTAAAAATATATTAAATTTACAAGAAAGAAAATCCAGAAAAGATCATGTGGTTCTCAAAATTTTAGCAAAAAATCCTTTTTTTTGGAAATTTTTATAGTATTTAGAGATAATTTGAAAAACGATAAAGAGAAAATATGGTTCTTTTATCGAGATCTACCACCCCTTATAAATAAAATATAAATACTTGCACTTATTTCTGGGATGCCCTGTATAAAATGTTCATTTTTTAATTCTCCATCTGATAAAAAAAATTATATACAGTGTTTTGAAATTAAAAAAAAACGAAGAAAAACTATTTTAAATTTTAGAATGTTTGGCGTAGAATTTTGAACACCCTGTATGATTTAAGATAACTATATTTTTAGCAGGACCATCTAAAGTATTGTGTGGCACATCGTTTCAAAATACCGTTGCTTTGTTTTTACAGTTTTCTAGCAAATTCAAATGTTTAGAAATAATATTAAAAAAAAAATACCCAAGATATACAAATCAGATGTAAACAGAAAAATAATAATAAATCATTGCATATTATGTATTTGATATTTTCCTAGTTATGTTTTATTTTGCCTAAAAATGAGATATATTCTATACATTCCTGTATGGCATTTTTTTAAACGTTCCTTTAGAACAAAAAATAGACGTCAAAGACTATGGAGACGTTTCCTACAAAATACCAGACGAGCTACAAAAAGAAATTGTACCCAACATGAAAGCGTATGCTGACATCGCTGCTTGTAATTTTGAGGTATCCAAAATGGTCGAAGATATCATTAAAACTGGCAGAATTTGCATTACCCTGGGTGGAGATCATTCTTTGGGTAAGCCACAATTTTTAATAAAAAAAAATAACGTCATATTAGGCTGAGAAATAACATTTATCAGGTGTGGGCACGGTCGATGGTCATATAAAAGCCAAAAACGAAAACGTTTGCGTCATTTGGGTGGATGCTCACGCTGATCTGAACACTAACAAGACTTCAAGTACGGGAAACGTCCACGGTATGCCAATGGCGCTGTTGGCAACAGAACTGTCAGACTACTGGCCCTATTTGCCTGGAATGGACTGGCAGAAACCTGTTCTGTCACTCAGAGATGTCGCTTATATCGGTCTGAGGTCTGTCGATACTTATGAGCGATTGGTTATCGATAAATTGGGTAAATAATGAAGAATATAAAATTAATAAGAATAAGCCTAGCATGAATTTGTTTAGGAATCAACGCTTTCGGTATGGAAGACATTGAAAATTTCGGGATCAACACTATAGTAGAGATGGCTTTGAACAAGATCGATCCGGCCGGTGAGAAATCGATACACGTCAGTTTCGATATCGATTCGTTGGATTCTCTGGAAGCTCCGAGCACAGGAACTGCACGTAAAAAGTTGCTTCAAAATGCTTATTTTCTTGTTTATTTTTTTATACGGTATTTCAATATTTCGTGGACATAGAACTACCACGTACTTTTAAAATCAAAATAAGTTTAGTGATGAGCCAAACCGTGATTTTCTGTTCACAGGCTTACCTGTGACAGCGACTTTGTATTATCTGTGACTCTTTATTCTTTCGATTATGAATCCGAAAGCACAATCACGGCTAAAAAAACGGAAGAATTTCAGTGAAGCTTTGTGGTCTTAGATTTAATATTTTAAGGAACCGATTTTGTGACACATCCTGTATAAAATTCCTTGTTTCAGTCAGAGGAGGTATGACTCTAAGAGAGGGAATACAACTGATGGAAATCCTTTACAGAACAGGTAGATTAGGAGCTTTGGATTTAGTGGAAGTGAACCCAAGTATAGGCACGGAAACAGAAGTAAACCGAACTATAGACGCGGCAATCCACGTCATAATGGCTGCTCTGGGACACTGTAGAAGAGGCATAAGACCCAAGAACGTTCATACTTTACCTTTACAAACATTCCCACCTACCAGACAAGTTATTTGAAAAAAATAATAAAAATAAAACAATTTTTAGGACATTTTATTGAAAAATCAATCTAAACATAAGTTAACAACATTTTAAATTATTCTTGCTTCGTACATTGGCTTATCTAGTAACAATCTATCGAATCCTAACCTCGTCAAGTCTATGGACTGAAATCTTCCTTCTAAAATCAATTCAGAGATGGCTCTGCCCACTGCAGGCGCCTGTTGGATGCCTATCAACAAAATATTATGTTAGCTTCATCAAAAAAATTGAAAAAAAAATAACGTCGTAGTAAGCGTTCTATAGTTAAAGTAATATAAATCCTTACCATGCCCACTAAACCCAGTGGCGAAAAATATATTCCCATACAAAGGATGAGGTCCAATAATACCATTCTCGTCATAAGTGTTATACTCGTAAAACCCACTCCAGGCACTACATACCTGTAAATTTCAATATACAAGGTGTATTAAAATTAAGAAAAACACATTTTAATTCGAAATCACCACCTACTTTCAGGGCATTGAACGCTGGAACCCTATGGGCCAGGATGGGCCACAATTTTCTGTCAAAAAATTCAAAATTGACGTCTAGGTTTGTCGTTTCCGGTTCCTCATCGACATCCGGTGAAATGCCGGCGATGAAATTGCCTCCGAGACCGTCTCTTCGAAAGTATGCCCCTGTATGATCTATGGTCATTGGTGTGTTCAACCCTGGAGCATTATCCTGACAAAGATATGAGTATACATATCTTTTTCTGCAATAATTTACACGCCATAATGTTATTTTGTTCTATTTTACATCTAGTGATGTGCTAACAATGGATTACATTTTTTAACCAACTACTACAACTTCATAAATTAAGAACAATCTTGGATTAAACGTTAAAACGGATAATATCATTTATAATTAATAAATCATAATCCAGTGTTGGGATACCGTTATTCACATAATCCATTGTTGGGATAACGGCATACATATATTCATATAATCCGGTGTTTGGGTAATAACTTATACTGATTAATGTTACCCGGTTTTTGGACACCGGATTACATTTACGCATGTAATCCGGTGTCGGGATAACGGATTATATATATTCCTATAATCCGGTGTTTGGATAATATATTATATTTATTAATATTATCCAGTGTTGGGGGACCGGATTACATTTATCCATGTAATCCGTTGTTAGGATAATGGATTATATTTTGTAATTTTATTGTCTTGTAATCCAATGTTGGGATAATTGATGATAATGGATTATATTTTGTAATGTTATTAATTTGTAATCCAATGTTGGGATAATTGATGATATATAGTAATCCAAGATTCAACTCAATTATGTTACATAATGTAAATTCAATTACAATAGGATTACAAATTCCTTATTAAACTGGATTATATTTATTCAAGTAATCCAGTGTTGGGATAAAGTATTATATTATGGTTAACATTAAAATTGATTATAATTATTATAATCCTATGGCTTTCTATCAGATTATTTATTATTTTTATTATTTATTTATTATTTTATTAAAAGAATAATCGTTCTTGGATTTTGGATTACAGATTGTCATTAGTGACTATAGATTTATGGTTATAGTAAGATCAGCAATTAAATGGATAACATTCTTTTCCAGAAACTAATGTTTTAGTTTAACTACAGAATCCATAGTTACAGATATTATTTTAAAAGTGAATACCTGGGTTCTACAGGCAATGGGATATTCAAAATTCCAGATCCATTGCCTATTTTTAATAATCTTGCCACTTGACCTGATTGGGGACCAGCAGCTACAACACACAGAGCAAAATTGACAGTTCTTGTCTCACCATCGGGCATTTTTACCTAAAAAAAACATTATGTACATAACTATATACATATTTTTTTTTTAAAATAAAACATACCACAAGTTCATTGGACTGTTCATACACTTGATCATCAAATCCCGATACGACAACCTCTGGTTTAGCTTCAAACTTGAAATCAACTACTTCCGCGTTCAGATATCTGGCTCCTTTTTCGACAGCTGCTTTCTTGAGGATTTGCAGTAAAGACCAAGCATCGAACCAACCTTCTTTTTCTAATCCCAGACATCCAATTGCCACATCTTCCACATTCATCCACGGAAATCTGAAATACTATCATTAGATAAAACATACAAACCTTCAGAAACAATATAAAAAATCTTCAAAATAAGGAATTGTTAGAATTGGTTTATGTTGCACAAAATAAAAATATAAACATCCCTTATTAATACAAACCTATCTTTGATTTCATTTTTGGTCAATACAACATTATTAGCACCTAATTCATTTTGTACTTTGCTATTTGCTATGAGTAATTCGGCACCTTCTTCACTAGCAAGCAGGAGGTACCCGTGAGGAGTAAAATTCACCTCAGCCTGAGGTCCAAACCTTTGTTTCAATGTCCTGAGAAACTCATACCCGTATAAAGACATTTGAATATTCTCTGTTAAAGAAAACTGTTGTCTTAAACCACCCACAGACAGACTTGTTGAACAGGTAGAATACTAAAAAATAATAACATTTTGTATAACTAATAGCAACAAAATGGTGAAGGAACTTGTGAAAAAAAAAATGTTAATCTTGTTCGACTTACTGTTAAATCTTTTTCAATAACAAGCACATTAAAACCGTCGAAACTAGTGTGTTCTTTCAACCAATAAGCTATAGAACTTCCTATACCACCACCTCCAATAATAACTACGTCTGTGTAACTAGGAAATTCTTGTGTCACGACTGTGTTTCTTGACTTTTTATTCGTAACACCCTTAAAGGTATTAGCCACATCGTTTATCAAAATTCTAAACGTCCTCTGAATGGGATTCTCGCGTTTTTTATACAACGAAACACTAGTGTTTAGCGACCTGACTAGGAGGGTGATTTTTGGTATGGTCTTGTTTGCAAACATCTCGCTTGTGCTTGTTTAAAAATAGCGAAAGTTGTCATATATACTTTTCTTGATGATAACGTCCCATTGATAACAGCTGTTAATAATTATAAACAATAGGATAAGAAAAACATTTAAAAACCGTACAAGACACTATTTTAAAAAAAATCGTCACAGGTCTTTGAGGTTATCAATAAATTGAGGTTGTGTAATCTATTAGTGCTGTAGTTGAATGAAAAACTTCGATTTTTTATTGGTTTCTGATGTTATTGATTCATGTATTAAAAATATCTAATTTTGTAGAAATGCAACAAAATATAGAAACAAAACGGGTACGTGTTGATGTATTAATGTAAGCTTGATTTATTTTTTTTCAAGTCCTCAGGATGGCTAATTGAAACTATTTTGACGATATCGATTTTTTTTTTTTGATGAATTGATGTCTGATCACTAATAAAAACGATTATGGCGCTCTCTAGCAGAATATTTATACATTTAATGTCGCTTGTGCCATCTATTTGTCAGGAGTTGCAGTTTAACTAATTTAAAATTAAAGGTTTCTGTAAAACAAAATCTAAATGATGCAGAAAGAAAATTTACAGAAACCTTTAAAATTTTCGAAAATCATATTTTAGCTATTTAACACTAGATCCACTAGACTCATTTTGCTCGACCAGAGGTCGTAACGAGAAATAATTTAAAAAGCGATTTAGGACAAACGCGCTAAAAATCTAGTTCTCTTAGTTGAAGAAAAACAAATAAACAGAAACTGGGAATTGAATTAAAATAATTTATATTTATGTATGTGCGATGATAATGAAGTTTTAAGTAGTAAGTATGTATATGTTATTTTTTTTAGGCAAAATACAGTGCGTTTTTTTACATGGAACATATAATTTTAGGCTAAAACTCCAAATAATTTAGATCAAATCATAATTATTCCTGGATATGACTTTGTCAAGCTGTTTTTGTACTGAAAATCAACATCTGTTTTTTAGTTTAACAATGAATGTTTTACATGATAAATTAATAAATAGGTACAATTTATATTGTGACTATACAGCTAAAACGGAAAAAATATTATTGCAAAGCCGAAATTTAGTTGATAAATATTTTATTTTAGATAACTATGACAATACCTATTTATACAGGGTTAGTCTTAAATAAGAGCAAGTATTTTAGGGGTAGTATATTTCGACCCCAGAAACACGATTATGATGTTTTTTGAAAAAAAAAAATTGGAAACTTTTGTTTTAAAGTAAAAAATATGAGTTCTTGGGAATATGTCAACATAGGTTGTAGATTAAATTTACAAGAAAGAAAACCCAGAAAAGATTCAGTGGTTCTCAAAATTTAAGTAAAAAATCATTTATATTGAAAAAGTAAAATAACTCGGTTGTTTTGGATTTATTTGAAAAACCGTAAAGAAAATATATGCTTTTTTTATCGAGATTTAACCAGCCTTGAAAACATTTACACTTATTTAAGACTCGTCCTGTATATACCAAAACAAAGTTGGAAAAGAACTATATATGTTCATACAATTTAGCAATTACAGAGGTATTCATTTTAAATATTTTAGTGGAGCATAATACAACAGCTAATTGTGACTCACCCTATATATACAGAGTGAGTCTTAAATAAGCGCACAGATTTTAAGATGTGATATATTTCGATCTGAAAAACACATCTATGAGAATTTTTCACGAAAAAAAAGATTAATTTTTTTATTTTTCGAATTTTTCATGCCAAAAACAAAATTCCGCATATATTTTTAAGCAAAACCCATAAAAAAAAATTCTTCCAACTCTCTATCCAGCTGATTATTTAAATCATTTAAACCTTTATCCGTGTAAGGAGCGTAAAAGCTTCATTGTATCCAACGTACACATACACGTACTTAGCCCAACTTAAAGTATAAAAAATAACTCACCCCCGTGAGTGGGGTTGCTCGCCGATTCTGCCCGGTTAGACCGAAGATAATGGACCAGAAAAACCCGATGAATAGAAAACCTTTCGTTCTATCGTCAACCCTTCCCAGTTTGGACACCGGAGCCCTGCCCGCCTGTCGATATACCGGCTGAAATATGCGAACGGGGCCCCTTTATTCCTACAACGAGTCTGTTGTAGTTTTAAAAAGCTCTTCATTTAATATTTTACGTTTTTTATGAAGTGTGATTGATGAGAGACTTATTTGCATACTATGACGCGTACTTATTATTTTCCTATGTCTCTAAAAATTGATGTAAGCGCGTTACAAAAGTAACAGATGTTTTTGAATTGGAAATAATATAATAACTATATATTTATATATACAATACTTTTCTCAAATCAAAAATTTAGATGGCCTATACTTATCTTTGCTATGAATACGTAATCTTAAATTATACAGGGTGTTCAAAATTCTTAGCCAAACTTTCTAAAATATAAAATAATTTTTCTTTGCTTTTTAAATGGAACACCCTGTATATTAATTTTTATTAGATGGAGATTTAAAAAATAAATAGTAGTTTCTTAGATACACGCAGTATTATTTCATATGGCTGTTTCAACGGTAAAATACGAGAGAAAAATCATTGGGTGGCGTTGATAAAAATTTACTGTGAAAAATGCCATATAAATTATAAAACCACGAATATCTGCGAAACCGTTAAAAATTTTGAAATATTCTAAATACAAAAAATATTCAATTTTTAAGTCTCCATTTATTGGAAAAATAATATACAGGATGTTCCATTAAAAAAAAAAACGAAGAATAATTATTTTGTATTTTAGAAAGTTTGGCGTAGAATTTTGAACATCCTGTATCATTTACGTTTACCATATTTATAGCAAAATAAGTACAGACCATCTAAAGTAAATACCTGATATATTTTTGATTTCAAGACAGATTCTTGTATTTTTAATATTTTTTTTAAGAAAGGTTTTGAAAAAAGAAAAAAAATTATTATTTATTAGTATCTCTGAAACTATCGAAATATATTTACTCATATTTTAGGATTATCTAAAATGATCTGAAAGGAAACCAAAAATGCAATAATATACAGGGTGTTCCGTTTAAAAAAAATCATCCTGATCCCTTCACAGTTTTTTTATGACATTTATATATTCCCCAAATATCTTAATTTACGTCAAATAAAATTCGAATTTCCTCCAAACAACCGTTAAAACCAATAATCCGAGATCACCATAAAAACGAATGCCGGAAATTTTACCTTTCTATAGTGGCACAACAGGCGGAAACTTTGATTTCATGGCGTATGCAAGTAGCAACCTCAAATCTTTCTCTACGCTCGTTACAGGCGGCTTTTAGCAGCTGCACGCAGCAACCAGTAGACCATAACAACCCCCGGTAAGTCGCGGGATACCCTTGTACCCCGTACGGACGCCTCAGGGCAGGATTAAGGATCTATTAGGTTTTATTTGATTTGTCTTCTTTAGAATTGCTGTCCGGATCGAGTAAATAGAGGTCTTCTTTTTATTAAGTTGAAGGGATCAGAATGTTGATTTGTCTCGTCAAAGTCTAAACGAATCCACTGTTTATACAGGGGTTAAAGTACAAAAAAAAGTAGAAAAAAACTACACACACCGGAAAAATCTAGGGATATCATTTTATTAAAGTTAAAAATAAATGTTTTTAATAAACATCCACATATTTGTAGGCCGATTCTTTCTACTTCGATTGAAACGAAGTAGTCACACTAGTTATTTCTAAATTTGGGATATTTGCAGAAGTGTTTATGCATTTTTTGTCAAATTTATAAAAAGCACCTAGCATCAATTGTTCGAATTTAACCTCTACTGGCTATGCTTTTATGATAAATGGCCAGAATTTATTCAAATAACTCTGTTTAGTATTAAACGACATTATGGAGCGTAGATATCTTAACAGAGACGAAATGCTAAGGGCCATGGGTATGCTTGAAGCTGGAATCCGCCAAATCGACGTAGCTAGAGCATTAAATACAACGCACAGTTAAACAACGCGATTAAGTGCACGCTATCCTGAAAGTGGTGATGTTGCTGAAAGGCACACAGGGCGACATCGCATTACTACCCCTCAGCAAGATCATTTTTTACAATTAAATGCTCGACGCCGACCGACTCTTACAGCACCAGAGCTTAGTTTAATTCTCCAGGAAACACATAATGTAACCGTTAGTCCTGACATTGTTCGTAATAGATTAAGAGAGGTCAACTTAAGACGCCCCTGGAGAGCTCAACCCTTAACGAGAGGAAATCGAGAGGTACGATATTTGTAGGCTCAAGATCATGTTTAGTGGTCGAATGAGCAATGGGTCAATGTTCTCTTCACGGATGAGTCACGCTTTGGAATTCATCCGGATTCGAGAAGGCTTAGGGTATGGAGAGAACCGGGAAATCTTATTCGGTTGGATCTTGTTCAGGAAGTGCACCCTTATCAAGGTGGAACAGTTATGGTCTGGGGAGGAGTCCAGTTAGGCCGAAAAACCGATCTCGTTTTTCTTGAAAGGTTTCGAACAGGAATCACATATCGTGATTTAATTCTTGAGCCTGTCGTGTTACCATATGCCAGTGATTTTGAGAGAAACTTCATTCTCATGCATGACAATGCACGGCCTCATACCGCCAGAGTGGTAAGTGAGTTTATCAATGTTCATCAATTAAACATCTTACCCTGGCCGGCACAATCTCCCGACCTCAACCCCATCGAGCACGTATGGGACGCGGTCCAAAGAAGAATTTTGAGAATGAGTATGCCTCGTGAAACTCGTAGGGATCTGGTTCGGGCCGTGAATGCAGGGTGGCAGGCTGTACCTCAAGAAGAGATCGACAACCTGATCAGGAGCATGGAGAGACGATGTAGGTCTGTAATGAACAGTAGAGGAGGTCATACCCTTTATTAAGTAAAAATGGTTTTATCTTTTTTTTAATTCACAGTTTAGAATAAAAAAAAATGTGCGTATTTTTTTGAGTTCAATAAAAATCAAGGTAAATTTGAAAAATTCGGTAAATTTCGCATTTATATTTCCAATACGTCCTGTAAACTATTTGTTTATTTTAATTTTATTATATCAGAAATGCAAATAATAAAATTACTGACGATGGCTGGATAAAATTGTAATATCCCTAGACTTTTCCGGTGTGTGTATTTAAAATATTTATATGCAACTATTCGAGAACACTTCAGTTTTTTTTAAACAGATACGACTACAAAAA